CTGTGGTAGTTGGAATAGGACTGCGCTGCACAGGCTCAGGAATTTGAGCAGTTGCTCTCTAGTCCCTGGGTCTGTCTGGAGACCATTTAGGAGGAAGTATGTCCTCATCATCATTAGAAGGGGCTTTGGTAGTTTAAAGTTTCCCAACACTTTCATTGTCCTTTGTTTTCTGCTTGGCAGTGGAGGATGTGAGCTCGTAGCTTCCTCCTCTGGCCATCATGCCTGTAGTTTGCTGCCATGCATCATGGACTCTCATGCCTCTGGAACCATAAGCTAAAACTGAGTCTCTTCCTTAAGTTGCCTCAGCCATGGTGTTTGTACACAGAAACAGAAAACAACTAATAAACCCACCGCTGCTGAAAAGCTGGGAAACCCAAGAAGATCCCAAAGTCCATGCTACCATAAACTCCCTGGGAGTTCTTAACACCCTTGGGAGCTGCTGCAGCCTGTGGAAGCCTCCCCAGGCCACTCACTGTCTCTTGACTGTGACAACCACACCACTGTATTACTCTCACTAACCTGCTCTGAACTCTGACCTCTATCATAAGCCAGCTGGGCAGAACTAAATGAAAGAATCCTAAGGAGAAAGGCCCCAGGACAAATGTCAATGAAAAAATACTGAGGGACCTTCCAGAAAATACCAGAAGTGAATGTGTTACAAACAAGAAGCCTGGTTTGGAGAGCAGTCACTGTCAAATCCTTCTAACATGCAGACGTCCACCAGGTATTCTTAGCCACTCTCTCCTCTGTGCATACCCACCTAAAGGCATTTATTGCTATTTCAGGTTCTGATTTTTATAATGGCCTTCTAATCTCCCCAGTTAACCACCTTCTGCTTCCTGCAAGCAGGCTCTAAACTGTGGCTGAGCAGTCTCCTCCCACAGGGCCCACCATGCTCTGCCCATCTCCAACACTGTAGACCCCACCTCACAGTCAACCTGCTAAGGTCTTTGCTTCCAGCTCTCTACACTCTTCATTTTCTAAGACCTCTGAGATCAAAGCCCCCACTTCTACACGTATCCAATGAGACCTTAAACTACACCTGCCCTCATCAGGTGGGAGTAGACCATGCACCTGTCCTATGGCTGTGAGAGCTGCATCTATAGTCCATATAATTGTGAATGTCTGCACGTGACCAAGATTTAATGAACACTACTTCTGTCTCCTCTCCTCCCAGCATCAGACATAGAGTGCACAATCAAACACATGACTTTGTGTCAGCAGAGAGCCGACTCTTCCCCAGAATGCTGCATCCAGCTTATAAACTCACACTCTCCTCCTTCATGCTTCAACACTTTCATACAGCTCCTCATGCTGTGTTGACCCCCAACCATAAAACTATTTCATTACCACTTCATAAATGTAATTTCGCTACTGTTATGAATCATAATGTAAATATCTGATATGCAGGGCATCAGATATGTGACCCCTGTAAAACAGTCATTCCACCCCAAAGAGGTCATGACCCACAGGTTGAGAACTACTGCTTGAGGGCAAAACTTCTCCAGTTCTGCTTAATAGCTAAGAGGTCCTTTTGGCTTTACTAGATTACTTCAGAGAGTGAAAAATAAACCTTTTCCTTGTAAAAGTCTACCCAAATGGTTGCATCTGTAGGTCACTCTATACTATCAATTCTTCTAGAAAATACTACTGAAGAAACTCAGCTTTGCTACTGGACCTAGGAGAACACTTGGGCCAACACTTTATGGCTATCCTTTGGGAACTGGGGTGAACCAGACAAGCAGGCATGAGGCAAGGACAGCTGGGTGGGAACACTGTGGGGAATGAACAGTGGCTTCAATTAATGTCTCCAGCTAATTAAGAAAAAGTAGCCATGTGTATCAGCAATTGGGAAACAAAAAAAAAAAAGGAAGCTAGCCTCAAATAAATCTCTAAACCTAGAAGGAGGGAAGGGCACCTTCCACAAAAACCCAGCAGAAATGTGACCCAGCAGAATTCTTCCTAATAAGAATTCACCCCACAACGCCTCTAAATCAGTCTCAATTTGGAAACATCCCAGGGGGGTAGATGTACTACTGGGCCAGATGAGCATCTTCCCAAATAGCTGAAGATCATGGCTCCCAGGAGAGCAAACACATCCCTGTCCTAATCCAATAAGAGAAGAGGGAAAGGACCATAGACTCTCAGAAGAGCTAATTCCAGGCCAGATACACCACAGCTCCATGTAGCCAGGGCACCTGACTGCTTGTCTCCAGCCACGGTACTCTCATGGTCACACAGGAAGACTGAGGACCCATCTCTATCTGTAACTCTCAGTGGCTCAGGATAGATTTCTGCCAGTCTCTCTGCCACCATAGAAAGAGGCCTTCAAGAGGAGATATTTGAACAAAAGGAGGTAGCAAGGCCAAGTGAGGAACCACAGTGGAAAAAACAGCCTTCTCAGTCAGGCAACGTGGCTCCTGGCATGGGGCCCTACCACTGGGAGCGAGCAGAATGACACATTAGCCCTGAACATGGCAGTTTCTGTAACACAGTGCATGACTTCTTTTCCAAGTTCCAAGCCACAATAAGGCCCCAGGAGAAGCCACGTTGTCTAGGAACAGACTGGAAACAGGCATTGCAAACTCTCAGAGTTTTGAAAGGTGCTTGTAAAATACATACATGTACACGACCTTCCAGATTTTCCATTGGTTTGTAGCTTGTGGACTCCTGCTTCATGTGTCTGAGTTTATCCTTCAGCAGTATTTCCCGTTAATGGGGAGTTGGGAGGATATCAACATGAGAACTACAAGTAGAAACATGGACTCCAGGTGCTGTCAGAGTATTTTCCTAGCATTCACATTCACAAGGCCCTGGGTTCGAACCTCAGTACTACATAAACAGAGTATACTGGTCCATTCCATTAACTCTAGTACTCCAGCAATACAAACTGGAGAAGTTCTGGTCATCCTCAGCTGCTTGGGGCCAGCCTGAGCTAGAGAGCCTATGAAAACTCACTAGTGAAAACCAAAGAGGAGTGTTCATATAGAAATTTCTTTCTTTTCTTTTCTTTCTTGGTTTTTGAAACAGGGTTTCTCTGTATTGTTTTGGAGCCTGTCCTGGAACTCACTCTGTAGACCAGGCTGGACTCGAACTCTCAGAGATCTGCCTGCCTCTGCCTCTGCCTCCCTCCAGAGTGCTGTGATTAAAGGCAACCAACGCTGAAACGTTTATTCCAGAATTCAAACTGTGTTAGGTCTGGAAAATTTTCCTTCTATTCTGAGTTGCATGCACCCATTTTCCCAGGAGGTTCAGGGAAATATGTGTGAGTGGGAAAAGGTGCTATTTGACTCTGAGGGATTTTAGCCCCAGGCCTCCCCCTTTTTCTTTCTTTCTGTCTTTTTCTTTTCTTTTTTTTTTTTTAAGGTTTTATTCATTTTACATAACAACCAGAGTTCCTTCCCCTCCCCATCTCCCCTTATCCCACCCCTATCTCGTCTACTCCTCCCAAAGGGCAAGGCCTCCCATGGCGAGTCAACAAAACCTAGCATATCAAATTGAGGCAGGACCAAGCCCCTCCCCTCTGCATCAAAGTTGAGCTGAGCAAGGCATCCCACCATAGGGAATGGGCTCCATAAAGCCAGCTCATGTGCCTGGGAGAGATCCTGGTCTCACTCAGGCCCTCCCTCCTCAACACAGCTATAACCACTCAGAAGCAAAGTGTGTATTGTCTGTTCTCTCACAAGGCCACCCAGGATTCCCTCTCCACAGAGGCAAGTCTGGCCTGCAAATCAAAAACCCCTTTAGACATACTTCCTGAGCAGTCTTTCAGATGCAATATAAGCAAAACTGAGGAAGAAACTAGAAAAAGGATTCCGGACCTCTGGTATCATTGACGAAGGCATAATAAGCAAGTCTTGGGGCTCCTTGGGAAAGGGGGCAACTCCGTAGGAAAGGTCCTTCACACTGTGCATTCCTTTGCGGAGGGCCTCTCCCACCACCCTGGCTATGCTGCACTGGTCATCTGACTCCATGTGCCTCCTTTAGAAAGGCTCTTGTCTCTGCTCTCTCATCTCGGGCACCGTGACCACCTTGCATTGCCTCTGGAGCTGTATACACACTGATTCCTTAGCAAGTCTAAACTCTCACCCCGGCCGGCATCATTGAGAAGGATCTATTCTGTCTCTCAGACACCACTCCTGGAAGACACTTCCTTCCTAAAACCGTCCTAAACAAGCCTGGATTGTTCTTCCACCCTAGGTCACAGGAACCCTGGGAAGAGGAACCCAGGGCCTCATCTAGCTCTCTTTGTTATCTGGCCTTTGACCCCTCACCTCTACTCAGGGTGTAGATAACTGTTTAAAATAAGCATCCCTTTAAACGTTCTCTGAAAAAGAGTCCGAAGGAGAGCTAAAACAAACTTTAGGAACGACCACCAGAGACCCGCCTAGGGTGAAGAAGTCGCCTCTTCCCGCCCTAGGGCCAGAAAGCCTCCCCTTAGCAGGAGCGATTAATTAAATCTCTGAGCTCCACAGATGGTGTAGAAAACCGGGAGCGCTGAGAAGCGCGGGATTGGGGGGGGGGGGGACTTCGTAGGGCGGGCGGGGCGCAAGGGACACAGAGACTCCTGGGCCAGAGACCAGCAGAGGACGATGCCCGCGGCCAGGCGCAGCTGAGCACTGCTGGGTACTCGCACTGCCGCCGGCCGGGACGGACCCGACCTTCCCCACGCCCTCACTCTGCTCACGACCAGGTCGCGGCGGGAGTCCACCCAAGGCCTGCAGACGACCGCCCACCGGAGCCACTCCAACCCAGGGTACCCCGCGTCTGTGCTGGAGGCTACCCCGCGGCGCACAATCCCTAAGTGCGAGCGGCCAGGGGGACGCGGGCGCCACCAGAGAGGACACCGGGAGCAGAGCCCTCAATCACCACCCTGGAGCCCGCGGGTCACCGCCTGGCAGCAGGGGTTGGGGGACCGATATCAGCCCCGCACAGCCCTGTCCCGCGCGGCCCGCCCGCTCGGGCGATGCCGACACAAAGAGGACGCGCGCGTTACCCACCTGGTCCCGCGCGGTCCGGGCTCCCGCTCGGCCTCGTTGCGCGCGGCTGCGATGGCCCCGCCCGGTGCCGGCTCGCGGGTGCCGCTGCCCCGTCAGCCTCCCGCGCGCGCAGCCCGCCCCGCAGCGCAGCGCCCTTTATGCCTCCCCGCCCTGCGCCCCGAGAACTGCGCGCGGGGTCGGCGGGGCGCGAGCGCGCACTAAGCGCGGGCGCGGGAGGCAGAGCCAGTTCGCACGCCTGCGCCCCCTGCCGTCCAGAGGCGGCCGCAATGTCCATGCACCAGGACCAGGCAGCAGCCCTATAGAGCGAGGACAGAGGGTCCAGGTCAACTCAGTGACAGGGATGCCCTGGAGAAAAGCAAGGATGCAAAGAGGCCTCCTGAAGGTGGACCCCCCTGCTTCAATACTGCAAAAACAAGTAACAGCAGCTAGAAAGAAATGCGTGAAGCAGTCTGACCCTGCTAGCCAGGAGCTTCTGGGACCCTGGAATGGAGTTATGCCATGGGCTTGCCAGAACGTGCTTGATAATTCTACCTGTGAGTACGTTAAGATGAAGGCTGAGCCAACGGACAAGAATTATCTTTTCACTTTAACACTTGGATGCAACGATAGATGGAACAGAGTCCTCGACCTGCATGGCAGGAGGCTGAGGCTCTGTGCACATATGGGAAGCAGCAGCCATAACTTTTCAATTCTTCCTCTTAGAACCTTAGATCCACCACTGGCTGAGAACCCCCATGAGCTAATGTCTCTGCACTCCCTCTGGTAGCCCCTGGAAGTTCATGTGATATGTCCATGTCAATCGTGCAAACATGAACAAAGCCTGTGAGTATGGATGATGACTAGCATGCAATGTCCCCACAGGCAAGTATTTTGAAGACTTGGTGCCCCTAGCTGGTGAAGATATTTTGGAAGGTTCTGGGAATGTCGGGAAGTGAGAAGTAACTACGAAATGTTCTTGGGGGAATCCTAAACACACACAAACACACTGATACACACTTCCTCTGCTAAGATGTTCTGTGAAGCATTTGGGCCCAAGCAGCCATGGACTACACCATTTAGCTGAGGAAATGGGAGACTCCATTAACTAACTTGACTTATCTGTTCCCCATATGCTGTTGTCCCTTTCCACCTTACCCCTCACCTCACTCCAGCAACAGGATTTGAAGGCTCTGTATAAATCTCTCATCAGCTGATGCATTCTCATCTGTGTGTGAATGATTGTGTTTATAGATGTGTATATAGACATGCATGCATGCATGCCTAAGGTCAATGCTGGAGTGCCCATCTCTGTCTTCCCTTCCACATATTCTAAACCTGACACCTTCTAATTAAGCTGCACTGGTTGGTCAGCAAACTTCAGGAGCCGTCATGTTTCTACCCCTAACCCCCTTACCCAGTTCTAGGATGACAGGCATGTACCCCACATCTGTTTACATGGATGCTGGGTCTTCAGCCCTGCATGGCAAGCACTGCTTTGACTGAACTGTCTCCCCAGCACCCACACCCACATCCTCACCAATTACTGTGCTGACTGTCTCTGATCTTCAAAAACAAAAACGTGTCTCCCACATGCAAGCCAAGCATTCTCAGCTGCTCTGAGGTGGAAGGGTCAAAAATTCAAGGCCAGCCTGGACTAGACAGTGAGACCCTGTGCCAAATAAGCAAAAGTCTGATTAAACAAAACAAGGACACGCGCCGGCCTCCTAGCGCCTTGCCTTGCATCAGACTCTGTATAAATTCCATTGTCTGAGAAAGTTTGCAGTGTGAAGAATCCGAACAACAGCACTTTGTTACTTCAGCCTCTCACTGGAAGAAAGAAATAGTTTTGTCCAAAGGCCTGAGCTTTGAGAGAAATGTGTTCACACCTCCCCAGGCCTGGTTGAGGAGCAAAGTTATGAATGAAGGATTGAGAGGTTTTGCTGGGGAGGCTGGGAGCTCACAGCATGTAGAAGCAGGTGTATTGAGGTATTCTGTGCTATCTATGACACAGGGGATTAGAAAACACACTGCCTGTGAATATCGAAGGTACTCGGAAAACCCAGCCTCATCAAGTTGTGCAAATGACACCTGCCAGCCCTTATGTGGTCTGACTCCCATGATGGGTTGGCTAATGAGATTATCTGTGGGGAGATGGACTGAGGCTTCATATGGGCATTGAAATCAGGGTTTGCAGCAGACCATGCAGTACGTTTCCAGTTTTATCCATGATGCCCATTGAATGCCCCATTACTATCCACATCTCCAGATCACCAAACATATACATATTTATTTTGTTTTTAATGTGGATTGTAGCACTTGCAATGTTTCCTGTGTTGTGTATGTGCTCCAAAGCTCAGATCATCAGTATACAGAACCTTTCTGTGAAATCGCACACAGTCTGAGCACAGTAAGTACTCACTGATGAAGGAAGCTGGCTCCTCTGAGCTCTCAGGAGCTAATGCCATTCCCTCCAGAAAGCTGCCTGGCTCTTAAAGCCATTCTACCCTCACAGTGACTCTTCAGTCCAGCCCATGCCAGGGGAAGACTGGCCATCTCCTCCCAAGGTGGTCACCTTGAGCCTGTTTGAACGACCTCACCGTTAGGGTCTGTGCCAGTGATGTGTCATGAACTGTCTCTCACTGGGTAGATAGATCCCTTATGATCACTCCCAGTGGACAGTGGATGCCCAGGGGAAAGTGGGCCAAACTCTAGTGTCTATGAAAATGACTTAGAGGCTGAACCAATGGAAACCCTTTGTGAAGCTTTCTCCTAGATACAATTCAAGGAAGTTTAAAGTTGTGGCTTACAGTTAAAGGGGGGGGAGAACAAAGTAGACAATGCAAGTTGTTTAAACCTCTGATTGCATATTCTACATATAGAATTCACAACCTTTCAATTCTTTTTCTTTTGAGAAAGTCTGCTCTGGAACTCACAATCTAGCCCAGGCTTCCCTCAAAGGTATGACCTCCTGCCTCAGCTTAACTTTGTACTTTTATGTGTATCTGATACTCTGTTTCTAGAGGGAAGTGAAAAGTTGAGTGTCTTTTCCTCAGGCAGCTTCTCCGTGGGAAAACCTAGGATCCAGAGGCACTTGGTGTTTCTGGAGACCTTTGCCCCATCTGTGCCTGCTAATCTCACTCTGAAAGGTGCTGAAAAGCAAGGGCACAATGTCCACCATTTCAGGTGAATCAGACAGCATGCCCTGGGACAAAGCCTCAGGAAGGAAGGGAGTTCCTGATACTCTCAGGTCATCCTGGGTGGGGTTCCCAGCTACACCCACACCTTCCTCTTTCTCAGCTTTGATATCTCATGAAAAGCTATCTGTCGTGCCATAGGCACACTCCAGACGGAGGACATTCATGAAGGTATGAGTAAAGCGGCCATTGCTCTGTTGCAGTCATTTAGCCACAAAGCTGTGGACCGATCAGAGTTCTCCCCGACCTTGAAGAAATTTATGTAAAGTCCAACTATGAGTATCTCAAAGCCTGAGTATTTTGCCAGTGGCATTGGTTAAGATGCAAAGTTGAGTAGGCTGGGTCCCCGTCCATTATGACTGCTGTCCTTAGGAAATAGGGAAATCAGAAATTGGTTCACATTTTCTTAGGGCATTGGGGATGGGAGGTCCTTCTGTAAATCAGGACACACCAAAGATGAGGTGGGTAAACTATCAGAGGACAGGGAGATCCTGGAGCAGATGCTTGCAGCTCAAACAGCCAGCCCCTATAATAATAAACCATGTATCAGCTTGCCTGGGCTATTGGATGTCCACCGAGCTGTGTCTCTGAGAGTGCTGGGAGAGACTGGCCCTGTAACCAGAAGGCACACCTATCCTAGGAACATGGTCCAACCCCCTGAAGGCTGAAAGAGTACAGAAGGCAAACACCGGGCAATTTGCTCTCTGCTGGCATGGACTTCTGTCTTCTCCTGCCCTCCTACACAGAAGATCCTGGCTTTTGAACTCTGGCCTTTCTCCCAATACCCATACAGCTTCATTCTGATTCTCATGCCTGTGAGCTCAGACTGAATTTCTGATGCTTTTAAGGCATCTTGCTTGGCCAAAGAGGATCTTAGGAGCCCTGCTTTTCATAGTCACAAGAACCAACTCTAATGTACACATTAGATCTTGGACTGACTCCTATATGATACAGTTATATAGATACATAACTTTATTCTATAGTATAGTATATGTGTATATAATGTGCACAATATTTCTCTGATGGTTCTGTTTGTATGGAAAACCCACTCCAGCTAATAAATTCACCTCCAAACTGTAAGATGTAAGAAGATCTTTTTTTTTTTTTTACTTTCTAGACACCAATTTAACTAACATGCTAAGGGGAGCACATGGAACATGCTCACATGTAACTAAAATTTAGAGAATAGGTGTGATAATAAAAATAAGTTTTTCCCAAAGGCAGGAAAATAAATGACACTTAGTGAAAAGGTTGAGCTGTTAATGAAAACAAGGCCTTTCTATTTCTGGTTTTCTTCCAGAATGGAGGCCTGGTGTATCTTATTCATTGCCATTCTCAGCACTGACAGAGAGAGTTCCAGACATTCAATACATATTTGTCGAAGGAAGTGAGTGGGGACTGGGGGATGTAGTTCAGTTGGTAGAGTGCTTGTCTAACATTCATGAACGTCCATAACTACGTAAACCAGGAGTATTGGCACGCATCTGTAATCCAAGCACATGAGAGGTGCAGGCAGAAGGATTAAAAGCTCAAGATAATCCATTGTTAAATAGGGAGCAATAGGCCAGCATGGACTACAAGAGATCCTGTTTAGAAAAATATATGAATCCTGTCTTCATAGCTCTATGTACATCCTAAAAACAAATGCTGTAGGATCTAGTTGGAGCTGAAATATAAAAGAGAGAAATCTCTGCTCAGGTTTTGCATGGCTCATATGAAAGTCTAAGGCACAATGTAGCTTACCCGGATTCTGAGATCTCTGTCAGTCACTGCCATCAGTGTGCTGCTACCCAAGGCTCTTGGCTGGCTCAGCCATCTTTTCACTCTGTGTCTATACTGCTTTTCCATGAAAATCAATAGAATTTGGTCCCTGTGGCTTGACAAATTTAAAGACTTTCTCAACTCAAAAGGAATAATTAAATTACATTTGATGTAGGTGGACTAGGTTATGGCAAAGATTTATTGTCTCGTCCTCTGGGTTCCACCTCTCTTGCCCTCTTGCTCTCTTGCCGAGAGCAAGCAGCTCTCGGGTATACATAGGAGCTACACTTCTGGATGAGACAAAGAGGAGAGTCCAAAAAACAAACAAAGGAACAAACAAACAAAACAAACAGAACAAAACAAAACCCTCAACCTTGTCTGACTCCATCATATTGGCCTTTTAGCTGTACCTGAGCCAAGGAGAGCCCTAAAGAAGTCAATGGGTCTCTTTCTATGCCTTGGAAGGATAATTCCAAGAAGTCTGTGGGTTAAGATGTAGAAATCCCTGCAGCCCAGTCTGGTCTAAACTAGCACAGCTGTACATACTATGTCTCTAGAAAGAAAAAAAATAACAAAGCACTAAGCAAGTTGCATTGACCCATCTTAAACCCAAAACAAGAAGCTACAATCTCAAATATTAGAATTTAGAAGGGGCCCAGGCAGAATACAGCCAGGAAGAGAATGCAGGAAAGGGCCCCAGGTCTGTGTCCCTGACAACTCAGTTTCCCATTCTCATTCTCAGTAGACACTGCCCTATGGTATGTGACCCCCCCCCAAAGTTCAAAATAAAGAGAACAGGAAGGCATCATATGGCATTCTACCACCCAGGTTTGGGTGAGGTTTTATAATGCAGGGGATGCAATGCCTTCTATAGAATTGGTTTAGGCTTCTAGAATGCAATGGATGCTGCAGTGTCGTGTGTGCATGCCACACAGACAGAATCAAGGCACTCCAGGCCCTGGTTGCTGGCTGGGGTTTTGGATGTTGGAGACCCCCCCTCCTGGGAATTATGGGGAGCCAAAAGAAACTGCCTCACCCAAAGATGCTTTCTGACAGGTACTGCTGGTGGAGTCCAAGCCTCTCCAGAATTCCCTGCCTTGGAGGAGGCCATAGGGCTTCCACAGGTTCAGAGTTCTGTAGCAATATATCCAGGCTCTCTGTCTCCCCTCACATTTTCCAGAAGAGCTCTTGCCAGCCAACCTCTGTTTCACAATCCTCAGAGACCTGAACTGAGTTAAGTTGGGGAAGCAATCTCCCCTTGCTCTAGCCAGAAAGATGGCTAAGGGGGACTCAGTATATTTTGTCATGGTTACTAGGTCACGGTGGCAGGAAGACTGGAACTAGGATCTATCCACAGAGTCTGAACACCATCTGCTAATAAAAAGACCTGGGGGATAATGGGAGTAGAAAATCCTGTACTTACTTCATTGATGTGTGTTCAAAGCACTTTGTGCTAGTGTTGTTTTATTTAATCTTCTGCTGTGGTTCTAAAATTTCTAAGACTTGAATTGTTTGGTTTCTTAAGCATATGGATAGTTAGGGTGGCAAAATGCCTCATGGAGTAGCTATGTTGGCTGTAAAAGCTCGAAGACTCTAGTTCAAGTCTCCAAACCCATAATTCAAACTTGTTTTCTATTGCTGTGACAAACACCATTGCCAAATAAACCTTGGGGAGAAGTGAGTTTATTTGGCTTACACTTCCAGCTCACACAGTCCCTCACTGAGAGAATAGGAACTCAAGCAAGAGTCTGAAGCAGAAACCAAGGAGGAATGCTGATGGCCAACTGGTTCACTGTCTCATGCTTTTGTATAAACCCAGGATGGTCTGCCTAGGCATAGTGCCACCCACAACAATTAATGATGAAGAAAATGCCCCCACAGACATGGTGTCTTAGTTAGGGTTTCTGTTGCAGTGATGAAACACCATGACCAAAAGAGCAACTCGGGGAAGAAAGGGCTTATTTGGCTTACACTTCCACAGCAGTCCATCTCTGAAGGAAGTCAGCACAGGAACTCAAGCAGGGCAGGATCCTGGAGGCAGGAGCTGATGCAGAGGCCATGGAGGGGTGCTGCTTACTGGCTTGCTCAGGTTGCTTTATTTCTGTTTGTTTGTTTGTTTGTTTTTTATTTTTGAAGACAGCCCAGAAGAATGGATTTAGCTCTGGGGGCCTGTACTACTGACCAAGTCCTAATCAAGCAGTAGCTGCCTTCACACTGGTGGTCACAGCAAGGGCTTGAGGACAACTTTCCCTGGCCGGCTGCATAGCTGTCCTTCTAAGATCATCAAAGTTTTGATTTCTGGGCTTCCAAACTTTTTTTTTTTTTTTTGCATGTTAGGCCAAAGCATTTTTCTTGAAGGGCTCAGCTCCATGCAGCCCTGCAGCAGAGTGGGTTGCCTTGAGGCAACAATATCCATAACTTAGTTGAGTTTTAATGGGAACTGGCCTCTAAAGAACTCACTAAGTAACAGTGCATAGTGAGTACATGTGAGTGTACCAACACCAAAGAGACACTACTACAGGATCTTAGGTCATGTGGAGAACATTTAATACACCGAACACGTTACTATACATTACGCCAATACTTCAAAACCCAGAGTAATTCATATTGTTCTGTGCTTAAAAGAGCTTATTAAATAATATCAGTTCATCAAGAGTGTAAGGTATGAGCTGAATTATTGCTGCTGTGTTCCACTGCTTGATTGTTTATCTATGCAGCAATTAGACCCCAAAATCCAATGCAGATCAAACCTGACACCATTTTTTACTTCAGATAATTTAGCTAAACAATACCATATGGCTTCCAGTGTACAAGAAAACAGCTCATGAGTTTATCACTTAACAAAAACAAACAAAAAACACAAGCACACAAATAAACAAAATAGAAAATACAGAACACCTGACCTATTTTTGATGAAACAAAAGTATGTCTCAGTTATAGTGACCTAACTGAAGTATGAACATCTTTTGTGAGAAAAATACTCACAAATCCATTTCCTTACCAAATCCTTAGTACTTATCCAAACACACACACACACACACACACACACACACACACACACACACACACACACACGGAACCAAGCAAACAATGAAGGAACAGAACCAAAATTCACCAAGTCCTAAAAATAGACCCAAAAGTGAAATTTCTGAGATGCTTAATGAAGTCCGATGTCTTAGCGCCCTCTAGTTGCAGCACTGGAATTTCAGCAGTGTTAGCCAATTCCTGCAAAGAAAGGATTTTGACTCAGTCGCGTTGTCTCCTCTGCCTTTTTGGTGTAGAGGAGGAACTCGTTCTTCTCATATCAACCTGGACTGGGTCTTATCTCCAAGCTGCTTGGACGATAGTCCATGCAGCCACAGGTGCCAGCCACACTCCATGTTCCTGACAGCATCCTTTGTCCTTCCTGCCCATGCTTCCAGACTTTTAAGGAATGCACCGACACAGCCATTGCCGCTTTGCAGAGTTGAAATAATGACTTTCTTCTACTCAAACTCCTGCTTTATTGTGACAGACTCAGGCAGCCTCAGTACCTGGAGGGTGCAGCTGCACAAGCACAACCCTCATGCCCACGTGCTAAAAGGCAAAGTGTATCTTGGTTCTGTAAGGAGCCCTGAAGGAGTTGGCACAGTGTGGAACAGCCATCCTAAGTGTACCTTGATCAGGGTCTGGAGCAATTCCTTCCACGAGATCTTGGCAAATGTTGTGTCTTGATTCTTCCTATACCACTGAGTCAAAAGTCCAACATTCCCAAGCAGAAAAGCATTAGAATAGTAACTGGAGGACATGTTTTGTGATGTTTCCTGGTGACAATCCTGGCATATTTAGCAGAAAATAACTCACTCTGTCAAGTAGATAATGGAAAAAGAAACAAACAAACAAACAAACCCCAAAACACAAAAAACAGGAAACAAGGGATTCACAGCAAACTCCCTTAAATATTCAAATACAAATTAAATACATTGGCCTTTGGGACCACTGCACCTTGCTCCTCTGTGAACTGAACTCTATCCCTGCACTCAGGCAGATTATCTGTTTTATAAACTGCCATTGTGTGTTTTTACCCTTTCCTCAGTTCAGCCAAACAGGAACAAACAAACGAACAGACTGCATTCTTGGTAAGAATAACCCACAGAGGGCCAGAGGACGTGCAACAGAGTCTCAGGTTTCCATACCTGGAGAAAGACCAGGAGTCTTGGTGGTGGCAGACAGCTGCATGCGGACCTCCCCACAGCTGGTCAGGGTCTCCTTCTAGTCTCAATGTTACCAGTCCAGTTTCAGATCAGCTTTGCTCCATACATACTTCCCGCCACGCTTGAGGAACATCTTCTCATCAAAGCCACTGAATTTTATCGCTTCTTCAACCCCAACATCCAGGATGGACTTGGAAGGGTCCTTCCTGCCACCAGTGCAGTTCAGAAAGCGCATCTGGGAAACACATGGTAGAAGTAAGTAAGTTTCCGTATGGTTTGTCCTGTAAAACTCAACTGAGAGTATTCTTTTAAAAGTACTTCTGACATCCCAACCATGTCAAATGTGTATTGAGGTCTAAACTCTAAAATCCTCAGGCTCCATCCCCAACTCATACAACTCAAACCCACAGAGAGGGTGGCTTAACCATATGTAGGGGCAGCCAAGAGTCATGAACAGTACAGTTTAACTACCCCTGTACTCGATCCTATGTTGGGGTGGAGAGGACATTAAGAACAGATTTCCCCTAAATGCGGACATCTGAATTTGTTTACATGCTGTGTACTGAGAGGTAAATGCGAGCACAAGGCAGGGTAGAGCACAAAGCTACAGTGCTGTGTTGTGAGGAAACTCAGCTGAGTGACCTCAGGGGAACAGCAGCTGTTTATGTGTGGTGTGAATCCTCACAGAGGCTTCTCCTGAAAGGGTAAGACAGAGGCTAATGAGGCGGGAAAGAGCCGGGTTAAGGACAAAAGCTCTCCAACACATCCTATTCATTTGCTTTCCTGTGACTCTTTCCTTCCCAACCATGCAGGCAGGGATGAGGTCTTCAAACTTGTGTGTGTGTCTATATTGAACATTCCTGCAGGGCATCGGGTGGTGCACACTGAATCACAGAGTTATCCAGTTGGAAAAAAATCAACAAATTTTGATCCATCCACTTTTGTTCCAGCTACGTGGAGATTGCAAGGTTTACTAAAGAGTGTTGTTCAAAATCCCCAGCCAGTCATGACAATTTACACCCCAAAATAACTTCCATTGTCCTCTTCCTTTACCTTAGACTTGTAAACTGAGTATTTCTATGGACACTTTCCCCCTTATGCTGCATAAAACTCATGTGGACAATAAACAAAATTGCTACAGTTAATCATCGATCAATTTGAAAATGACAAAACACAAAAGTCCTAACAAATATTTCTCAAAATGCCAAGGTCAATACTGAGTCCTTGGTTCTTTTTATAGTTCATTTTAAAAATGCAGCCTGGAATGGGATCATCTGTCCTCTACTGGGAATATCAGCAAAGCTATAAATCCAAAGTTCTAAATAACAACAACAAAGAAAAGGAAAACAAATGTGATTTCTTTCCTTTTTAAAATAAGGGTGTGTTTTCCTTTGGAAGCAATGACCTCAGACATGATGTTGATGGTGTCTGCAGGGGACAATAAGACTTCCTCCCATTGTCAGGGTTCATGATGTGCAATGGAGGTGTTCTCAGCTTCTGGGTTATCTAAGATTGTGTGGCGTGGAGGGGACAGCGTACTGCCACAGTACAACCCTGGGACCCATGCCAGAGCACACAGCAGAGGGCTCCACTGAGTGTGACATCCTTATGACATCTGCAGATTCATGGCTACCTGGGATGTCATGGCATGGTAGCTTATACCAACCCAGGTCCATGCCCTGGGTTAGCATGAGAGAAAACTTGACATGTGAAGCCAGGGCTCTACCATGCTGACAATACAACCACCAGCACTAGGCACAATAGATGTGTTCGGACTGTGCTCATTTGGGCACTTGTCTGCCATTTCTGAGCTGCTAGTTTTCCAGTGACTTTATAGCTCGTGGGGGAGAATACTCACATATTCATCCAGAATAAGGTAGGAGTCTTTCATCTGTAGAGGAAAACAGAGTCAGAATGTAGTTTTCATGCAACATGCATTGTTTACTTTGTATGTCCCATTGGCTGTCTTTCCTATGGCACATGCGCACGCACGTGTGTGTGTGTGTGTGTGTGTGTGTGTGTGTGTGTGTGTGTATGCCTTGAATTTTCAGCTCCCCATAGTCCCCATCTATTTGCAGGCCTTTGGAGAGGTCCTCAGTAGTGGAGGGTCTTCGGGGTCTTGTCCAACCGGTCAATCTGGATTTTCCTGTCTCAGACCAAAAGAATTTTCCCCTGCAGGATACTTTGAGCAGCCTGGCCTCTCCTAACCCTCCAGCTACTTCCAGGACTGCTGTTATCTTCATCTCTTAGTCCCCACCACAATAGCCACTGTTCAAGGAATATCCAGGGTCTTCAATGTTCAAGTCAGGCTCTCTGCAGAGGACAGCATCTCTGAGGCTCCTGGTGTTGCTTCTAACTTGTGTCAAGTTTGCACTCTTGGGTGCACTGGTCACTGCTGCTATTTTCTGCAGGGAGGCTGGGACACTCTTTTCCCCCTAAGAAAAGCTAGGCAGTAAGTAATATTATTTCTCTCTTTTCCCTCCTTCTTTCCTCATTTTTCTTCCATTCCTCCCCCTCCTTCCTTCTCTCCTTCTCCTCTATACTCCACCATCCTTGACAGGCCATTGGGTAGCCTAGGCTGACCTCAAACTCACTGCATGGCCAAGGGTGTCCTTGAGTTTTGGGTCCTCTTGGTGCCACCTCTTGAATGCTGGATTATAAACTTGCAATGACTGTTTTTAGCAATGCTGGGGGATTGAATCCAGAGCCTCCAGCATGCTCGATAGGCAGTCTCCCAAGTCAGACACATTTCTAAACCACTTAATATTTCTTGTCATGCAGGGCACACAGCCTGTGCCCCAATTAACCAGCTTTGCACCACACTGTGAAAGTCACCTCCACCATTGCCATCAAAACAAAAACAGACACCCAACAACAAAAGGCACAGATAAAATCATAAAAGAATGGAGTGCAATCCTGCTTCTTGGCAATTTTAGATATAGATCCTGAGAATTGGAAAACTATTTCTTTTGCGTTTTATCCAACTTTTCAAATAATTACTAGAAAGGTTGTGAGGGGTGGCTGTAATGATGCTGACACAAACATGCAAGTGTTCATACCTTACTTCAGTGTGAGTCCTACCCACATGCTTCCCACACACGCAGAGTTCCCGTGTGTGTGTGTGTGTGTGTGTGTGTGTGTGTGTGTGTGCGTGCGTGTGGTATATGAGCACACGTGCACACATTTTTATATTAGAGTTATCGATGTGATTATACATCTAATCACATCATCTCTGTGGCAGGCTCATCAAATCCATTCTTGGGTACAAGAAAAAAAAATCAATGTGCTTGAAGAACCCCACCCCCCAGATGACAGGGGCCATAGTGGACCTTCATCTCTTACTCTAAGATGGATGGAATGTCTAGAAGAACAAGACAGCAGCTTGCAAAGCTCTCAGGAGAGAGTCACCCCATTCCCCACTTTGTGTCAGTGCAGCTATGTGGTAGTGAAACCTGGCACCTTCTGCAGCATACCTACCTTCTGGTTAGATTCGGGCACCAAACAGGATACCTCTTTGTGACGTTCTAGAAATGCTTCAAATTCTTCATTGCTTATGAGAAATCTCTCTGCTTCCCTCAGGGCATCTTCTCCAGAGTTCTCACCCTCAATTAGGAGGCACTGGAAGACCTGGAAGAGGACAGAGCATCTGTTAGACAAAGAGTCTTACGCTGCCCTTCACTCCAAGCCTGCAGGGAACAGACCCTCCCCAGTTCAGGACTAGCAATCTTTGAATACAATTGCTAGTCACTGCTAAGTCTGTGAGGACTTAGAATATGAGGCTCTGAGCCATGAGTGATGGAATTAACAGAGTACATATGCTTTCCCTTGGGGCAATGCTTACATTGGTCAAGAGCCCACAGATATCAGAGGTTTCAAGGAAGCAGAAACTGACCCTTAACACTGAGAGCCAGAATCTTGAAATGACTTATCGGGAAGCCAGAAGAATGTTAAGGAAAGGCCATAAGAGAAGACAGATCCAAAGCAAGGAGGGAAAATGTATAGATGAATTTTAAGAATAAAGGGGTGAAGGGAGACTAGTGAGGGGCAGGATGAGTCAACATAGCTCTAACGCAAGAGAAAGAAAAGATAAGCAGACTGGAGGGGCTAGTCTTAGGTCTCTGTGCTGGTCTATCCGAGGTCTCTGTCTCTCTGTCCTGACTCTTTCTACCATTCACCTTTTTAAAAGATGTTTTCCCTTTATTCTGTGAGTGAAGATGTCATTGACATTCAATTTTACTACATCTATTGTATAAAAAAATTATCTAAAGTATATAGCATTTTTAGCTTCCCATTTTGACACATATTACAGTCAAGGGGGAAAAATGATCCTATCCTTATACCCCACTGTCTTGGCTCACTTGGCATCTAAAGAAGATCCATGGTGATGTTGAAATGATAGTTTTTCTTAAGTAAGCATGACTCTGGTCTAGCTTAGACCTTCTTGCTCAGGTCAACCCCACATGTGGAAATTCTTTCCTGCTTTCAAAACACAACCAAATGCAACTTCTTCCATGATGTTTTGCTGTTGGGCTCGCTGTGCCCCACCTTCCCAAGTCCTCCACACACAATTATCATGGATCATGCACCCTCTATTTCTAGTCCTTTCCAAAACTCAATTCCCAAATCTTATCCTCAGGTGGGTCTACTCTGTCTCTAGACACAGATTCAAAGGAACTACACAGAGGTTGCCATGTGGCTTGTTAAAACCACAAGCACATGCCAACTCTCCCAACCAGGCCTGCCTTTATGGGACATCAGTGGATGCATGAAGAAGTCCAAGAAGCTGCTTGCTAAGCATGCCCCTTGAGGGGGTTCTGAGCAGCCAGGGTGGAAAACTTGAATTTGCAGTGAATTTCCCCTGTGCATGCTGGGTCCTATCTATGATGGGCTGGCTTATATCCTTGTGAACCTGGAACTTCCAGTAGCTGCTATTTGGCCAGATCTAAGGAATGCATTTTGGAATAAAAGATAGCATTGCCCTGTAGACTTTCCCTGTAATCAAGTAATTCAATGTAAGCTCAAGTGAATTTATGAAGAACATCTAGCTCCATCTTTACACAAGCCAGGAAGGAATAGGAAGAAATGTCATTTTCTTGATAATCTGTTCTTCAAAGTGTCCCCAAGCACTCAGCACGGCCTCAACATTGACTCTCAGAAAATTCCTGAAGAGAACCATTTCAAGATTTTGGAAACAGACACGAAACAAAGAACAGTGAGGATGCAAACTTAATAGAGAGAAGAGTCAGGGTCTTTGCCAGAAAGTGTCAGAGTCCAAAGTGTTCCGGGTGTCAGTGTCACCAAACCACACTACTTCCCCTGAGTACTTCGGGGATTAAAGTCAAACATGCCTCAGTGCGGTTTTACCTTCCAGCGGACAGGGTTCAGAGCCTTGATGTGTTCATTCATGTCTTCGTCCACGTTGAATCTATTAATGACAGAGTTGATCTTGAAAGCTACCTTGTAGTCTCTGCACCATTTCCTCAGCTTTTGGAGATTTTCCACATGATTCTTTTTCCCTTGACCCCGGCCAATGAGAACATTGACTTCCTCATTGAAGCTGTCGCAGGAGATAGCAAGAATGTCCAAATAGTCACCTGCGGGAAAATGATAGTAAGAATAGTGGTATGCTCCCTGAGCCCTGGAATTAATTTGCCTCCCTTTACAGTGAAGTGCATCATGTTCCCAGGTATGTTTTAAAGAATTTCCTGATTCCCTGCCTCAACTAGTGAAAGTCAGAGATGGTATGTATATTATCATTAAAATACATATTCACATAACGAAATTGCAGAGCTACTTAATGTGAGCAGATTTAAACTCTGCACATATGTATATGCATTCATAAGCATTAGGATATATTGGTAAGGGTTTTCCCTGGTCACAGAGATTCTATAAATTATGAAGCCCGTTTCTATTAACTATGAACAGCTATAGCGTGCTTTGCCCAGCACACAGACAGAATTGTGTCATATATATCCAGTAGTTTTGCCAGGCCCATGAGCTTCCCCTTGACCTGCCTTTTACATTTTATTCACTGTGTAAATATTTGCAGACACTCTGTACTATGTCAGGCACAAGTGATGTAGGGGCTGAGAAAACCCAGACAAAGGGGAGCTGGGTGCAGGAACCATGGAACAAACAGGCCCCACCCTGCAAGGCCATACATCAAGAGTTCTGATAGTGAGTCATTGAGAGACCTATAAAATACTAAAACGTAAATTTGTGTTGTAGATTCAGTTTTTTCTCTCTGTTTCCTCTGACACCCTCATCCTTTGCTGCTCCCTGCCCTTCCCTGCCTGAGAAGAGCAAGTATCCATAGGGCTAAGATATTCCTTGCAGCTGACCAAACTTGGCCTCTCCTGGTTGTTGAGAATTTCCAAACTTCTCTATTTTGCCTTAAAATTCTTTTTCACATTGTAAAAGCTATGAGTTCCAAAATTTCTCCCAGACACTACTCTCTATAATCATGAAACGACAAATTTTAGCTCTTATTTTAGGTGCAATTCATGTACACGTCCAAGTGTACACCCCCCCAACACACACATGAATTTCCTGTTACTTAAAACAACTCAAAGTGTTCCAAAACTTGACCTCAAGTAAATTCCTATAGGGATGTCACATCAGGATGAGGTAACCACATACATAGTGTCTAACAAAACCAAGGGGAAACAGAAGCTTAAACCAAACACATAAAAACCAGGAGCACCATGGCTGCCTGATTGACAAGTGCACTGAGCACCATCCCTTTGGCCTGACACCTCTCCACTGTTCGCTGTGTCTCTGTGATGTCCCTTCCTCCTTTAGTTGTTTCTCTGTGATATCCCCTCCTCCTGGTCACAGCTCTTGGGAGGAATCCTTTGACAGAGCAGGTCTGTTTGCTTAGTGCTTGCATTTCCCCAGGAAAGCTGAGGCTCTAGGAGGACACTGTGCAGCCCCTACATACATGGCTGCTACTCCAGCATATATAACTGTAGTGGGTGGTGTGTGTAAGCTTCAGCCATGGGGCCATGTGTCAAGATTGTGTAGACACATATAGGAAGTGCTTACATGTATTATTGGGATCCTGGTGGCTGTGCCTGGTCACTTGGATATGCGTACCTGAGTGACCAGCACTCTATGACACTCTCTCTGATCCGAGACTGAAGTGAGCCTCCTTCCTGTGTGGAGACAACCCAAACCCTGACTGAGGTCACTGCAAGGAAGAAAGCAAAACCTGTGTGGGCTCTTAGAGATGGGCTTGGAAACAGATAGCCTGTCATGGACCCAGTGGCGCACACCTGTGCCTAGCTGTCATCTTGCTTTGTGTTTGCTCTCACTGAAAGAGTCTTGGCAGTCCTGTTCGCAAACTCCTGAACTTGGAGGAGTTTGTGGGCTCTGGAACATAGGTCCAAATTCAAGTTATTTGTAAACATTTATGATTGGGAGAGTTAACACAGAATGTTTTATGCTACTTCATGTCATGTATTGCTCCAAAGACACTACAACACATGCAACTCAATCATTGGGGCTCTCAGAAAATCTTAACAGCCCCAAAATTCAGTCAGTGAGTGTCCTATGAGCTTCTAATGTCACTAGACTTACAATTAGCTTAGTCCTAACAAAGAAAAAAAAAAGGTTTCACTAGATCACTAGATAGCCCTGGCTGAGCTAGAACACCCTATATAGACCAGGCTGGCCTCACACTCACAGATATCCATCTCTGCCTCCTAAGTCCTGGAATTAAAGGTGTTCACTGCTATGCCCTGTCTCTAACAGAGAAATTTATATAGCTGTAGAGTGTGTTGACTTTCCTCAGTAATGGCCAGCACCATACACAGCTTAGGAGATATTAGAATAAACAAGATTAAATTATATTTTCTTCCCTCCTGATTCATCATTGCTCTGGCGTGGAGCCCAGAAAGGGAGGAAATACAGAAGTCAACAGTATGAGTTGAGGTGACCAAGGTACCACTTGAGGAAACTTACCATAGTCCCTGAACCACCTCTCACGGATGAGGCTGCCATTGCTCACAATGCTCACAGAAGGCAGGGCCAGGTCCTTCTTGCAGAACTTCACAAGCTTGCCCATATATTCACCCCTGTCCTGTAGGAAGGGTTCTCCTCCTGAAAAGTTGATCTTCTCCATACCTGTAAGGGACAGAAGCTATATTTTTTACATTTTCCAAATGCCTATTTCATTATTATTATTTTTTTTTGTATGCTAGGCTGGAGCGATAACTCAGTAGTGACCATCACTTGCTTCTCTTTCAGAGGACCAGAGTCCAGTTCCCAGTGCCTACCTCAGATTCCCTCCAGGGGATCCTACACCTCTGGGGATACCAAAACACACATGCACACATGCATATATAAAATAGATATTATTACTTTGTTTTTTAGTGTGTGTGTGTGTGAGAGAGAGAGAGAGACAGAGAGAGACATAGAGACAGACAGACAGACAGAGAGAGAGAGAGAGAGAGAGAGAGAGAGAGAGAGAGAGAGAGAGAGAGATATTAGGGACAGATCCCAGGATCTTGGGCGGGCATACTAGCCAAGCCCTTCATGATAAAATGCACTCACAGTCTCATCCATTTTTGTTTTAAAGGCAAAAACTAACATTTCCTTATGGTAAAATGAATGAAATGAAACCAACCATTATTCTCTTTTTTACCCCATCATGTTTTTCAATGTTACTGTCACTACCAATAACTGTGGATCCCATGCATGGCCCTAAAACAGGAAGGAAACCACTGTGAAGAAACCCACTGTGATGTTTTGTGACTCTGCTCTTTCTATCTGAAAATAGGCAGTCTCGTTGTTGGAAAACAACCCCACATCTCAGCAGATGCTCTCAAAAGTCCAAGGGCACCGTGAATCCACCAGGAGATGCTCACAAACCTAAAGGCCAATTCCAGAGGCAACTGTGAGAAGATGTGGGGGTGACAGTGAACTCATCAGAGCTGTGATGTCAGAGCTCGGGATCCAGTTCTGTCTTATATGTGTGGGCAGGTAACTCCAAAAGCTGCATTTTAAGCAGATACCAGTGAGGAAAACAGAGACGGTGACTACTTTACAAAATTCCTGGTGACAAAAGACCAAACCTCAACCTAGGTCCCTGTGAGGTAACAAGGACCATGGGCTTTACTGTGGGTAATGGGCCAGTACAGACTGGGGCCGAGTGAGTCAGATCCTACAGTGCAGTGCTGTGTACTGTATGATTTCGTCATCACAGCACAGAACCAGGTAAATCTAATGTGAGCATCAGAAATCCATTTGGGAACCCCCATGGGGTCAGTGTGGTGGCTGGAGGCTGATTTGCACCTGGAGTGCTGACCAATAATTCTGTTTCCCAGCTATGCGCCAGGGAGACCTCTTGGTAGAGTCATTTGGATGGCAGTAGAATGTTTAACTCCTAGACATGTCATTGTGCTTTAGTTAAAGAGTAAGTAGAGAAAGTAGGCAATCTGTAGGTGAGTTGTTTTCTGGAAAAAGAAGAAGGGAGGGAGGAAAGGAGGCAGGGAAGGAGAGAGAGGGCAGACTTGAGGAGAAGATGCTGCATTTGAACTTCACTGCTAAATTCATACCTGAGAATAATTGATGGAGTGGGACAGTAAATCTTGGGAGAAAAATCCCATGACATGCCCATCAAAAATCTTTTTAAGGTTTATATGGGGCTGGAGAGGTGGCTCGGCAAGTGATCTACTTCCTGTACAAGTCTGAGAACTTCTGTTTGGGTCCCCAATACCTGAGTAAACCTGTACACAGCAGTGAGAGTTTGTAATGTCAGCATCCCTACTTCAAGATGGGAGCAGACAGGAGAATCTGTGAGGCTCAAAAGACAATGAACATTGCACATTAGGAGAGAGAGAAACCCTGTCCCACGCAAGGTTGAAGGCTAACCAACACTGCATATCAGCAGAGAGAAATGGGTGTTATTTGGGGCTGGTGTGGCTGTGGGACCAGGCTAGCGGGGAAAACCTGCTCGTAACAAAATGGCGCTGCAACGTGAACCCAAGAACTATCACTTACAACTTAACAAAAGCTTAAGAAAGCGTTTTAGAGACAAAGGAACACAGACAAACAGGGCTTCTTGGTAACAGCATTTTTCTCAGTTGGACTCTGTTTTGCTAGAGACAAGCAGATATTTTCAGGGCTCCTTTAAGGGAGGTGTCCTGACTCAGCATAGCAGCAAAAAACCACATGGCTCTTAAGAAGCACTGTCAACAATTCAATGGTTGTATATGAGCAGCTGGAGAGAGTAGCTGGGTGTGATAGCAAACACCTTTAATCCCAGCATTTGGGAGGCAGAGGCAAGCAGATTTTTGTCATTTCAAATTAAACCTGGTATACAGAGTGAATTCCAGGGCAGCCAACATTACACAGAGAAATCTTGTCTCAAGAAACGGAAAAAAAAATATAGAGTAATAAAAAAGCCAATGGAAGATGGAAAGCACACACAGAGTCTGGATACTGTATGCCATGATGCTGTGTTTCAATTGCTCAATTGCTAAGAAAGAAATAATTGCTACAATGCACTTGATTATCAATGCTGCTATATTAATTCAATTTATATATTTTAAAAATTCTTTGACTCCAAAATTTAAGTCTAAGGAAAGATTACTGGGGAAAAGGATTTCTATTGTTGTTTCCACAGAAAATGAAAAGCTGTGGATTCCTTCCAGACTAACATGGTTTGATCAAGCCAGACCCCCTGAAACAGCATCCCAAGTGATCCAGCATTCAAAACAGCTTGGACAAGGCAGCCTTGCAGATCACTACAACTAGGGTTTCTGTGTCTTCTTAGGATCCTCATGGCAGTGCCCCCTACCAGCAGGAAGCAGTTTGGAAAGAATGACTCTCAGATTCCCAAATATTGTTTATAAATATTTGTTTTCATTTAAGTGGGGTTGGTTATAAATGGTTAATGACCACAACCAATCTCTTTTTAAGGGTAAAAGGGGGATTATGGTCTAAAGGTGAATACTTTGTTTGGGAATGGATTTTCATTTATTGATACAAATTTAAGGTCAGTTTTGTGATATGTATATTTCTCTGCTCATTTAGGTATTGTGTTTATAAGCTTATTTAAAAATGTAATGTATAATTTAGTACAGATTATAGATAGTTACCTATGATAGTCAAAACTTAGAGTTCAGTTAGCTAGGTCTTCAAAATGTATTTGAGATGGATAGACATTCTTCAACCCTTTCAAAGACCTACAGAATATAGCTTTTAAAATGGTTTAGGGTTTTTCTTAACAAGGAGACATAACTACTACTGGCAACACCACATGTGTCAGAAAGGAAGATGGACATTGAAGAAGCGCGTTATGGAGTTTACTTCCAATATGGTAAGACAAGCCATGTGGGCAAGATACTGCTCTTTTCTGGACTATTTGATTTTATGCTATATAAACTGGACATGCAGGACCCCAGGAAAGTGACTGCTGATTCAAGATGGACATTGCTACAGGGTTCCTGCTTCATGGAAGAGTCTGCCAGACATTCTACAGGACACAGAGAAAAGTGACTGACAAACTGCCAATACAGGTACACAGTTTAAAGTTTCCTGCTTTGCTGAGGAATCTGCCAGACACACTATGGCCTATAGGCTGAAGATGGAACATTAACGAAGAACTTCAGGTGATTGACCAGGCAAATTGTCTCTGTCATTTCTAGAGTTTATATATTATCCTTCTGTGGTCTTTGAAGGAGTTGAAGACAGGTAGGTATGGTTATAGTTTTCCTTAGTTAGAACTAAAGATAAGTTACATATAGGACTTTAGACTCACAAAGATAGGATAGATGATAAAATACTTTCTTTAAATCTTGCTAAATATTAATGGACTAAATATTGTTAATTGTGGTTCTTATTTAAAAACTGTTTTGTTATATATGTTGCTATGTTAAAGTTAAAACCTTTCTTTTTATTGTAGACAGAAAAGAGGAGATAATGGGAGATGTCATTCTGTAAATATGTTTCTCTTATTGGTTAATGACTAAAGCCCTGTTGGCCAATAGGAGAGCAAGATAGGCAGGACTAGGAGACAAGGAAGATTCTGGGACAGATAGAGGAGGAGATTCAACATGTAGGACTGAAAGAGCAGAACCTGGATCCTCTCTCCCGTTAGCCAAGACCACATGGAAATACTTAGATGAATAGAAATGGGTTAATATTTAAGACAGAACTAGCCAATAAGAAACACTAGTAACTGGCCAATAGCATTATATCTAATAGAGTCTCTGTGTGTTATTTGGGGCTGGCACAGCTGTGGGACCAGGCTGGTGGGAAAACATGCTGGTAACAGAGAAACCTGTCCCAAACAAGGTTGGGAGTAAAAAGTATTCTGACACCTGAATTGTCCTTTGATGTTCACAGGCTTGTTGTGCAAAGCAGGTGACCAGACTAACACACATGCATGCGCACATGCACACACACATGCACACATACACACACCCCATGTGTACACAATTTTTTTTAAGGGAGAGAAAAGTTAACAACAAGGAACACAAAAGGTTCTGCCAGGCTGTTCGCACTGGGGACTTCAGTCTTTGCTTCCCCTTTCCTCAATTGGTGTTTCTGGAAGTCAGATTCCTCTGGGCAAACTCGCTGAGTGACACAACTTTCCTGACACCAGGAGGAACAGAGGTCACTGTCCACATACCTCTGTTCACAGGAGCGAGTGTTTGTTACATGGTCTTGACCAGGCCATCTCCCAGATTGGAGATTCTTCGTGTCTCTGAAAGGTTCCTTGCTCATTCATGCAAAACCACCTGTTGCCTGTCCAGTGATGCTGTGTCTGGTTCTCAGGGAGCCCTCCCCACCCTCATTCTATGCTTAACTCCTGCTCTCTGTCATTAGCATCCTGGGCTAGGAACTTACCAGCCTGCTTGAGCAGAAGCAGTCCTCGCTTGGCCTCCTCCAGGGGCAGCACGAAGGAAGTCTTCGCTGTATGGAAGCAGAAGCCACATTTGTAGTTGCACTGTCGAGTGAAGTGGTAGTTGACGCTAACCGGGGTTGTGGGCTGAGAACTGTTTGGTTCTTCCTGGGTCTCCTTGGGCTCAGCCCGGACCTGTGGCCGAGTCTGTCCCCTTCCAGAACCTAGCCATGCCAGTGCTATCCTCAGCCGGCAGAATAGGATGGCCAGGCCACTCCAGAGGGAGCCCAGCGGGTGCTGGAACAGGCTCAGCAAACGAGCAGAGAGAGTGGTCGGTACTAGCATCCCCATGGTGATCTGCACATACCTGCAGCTGCCTGAAACAGTTTATAAGCTGCTGGCCAGCCACACCCCTCCACCCCCTACCCCCTGCCCCGTACATTCTGTCACAAGGCAGAGGGAACACCTCCCTTGAGTAAGTCTCAGCTGAGCAGAGTTTCTGTTTACAGAAAATGAAAGTTAAACAGGAGCCAAGACTGAAGTACAGGATGGAGGCCAACTGTTGCCTTTCTGTGGCTCACGGCTGCCCCTATGACCCGTGTAAACAACATCTGTCTTAATGATGCTGCAAAGATTCCGGCAGCCACCAGTTTCCACAGAAGGGTCTTACAGCCGAACACATAGCTCCCTTCTCACAGGTTATCATCTTAACACGAAAGTATGTTAAGTCTCTTGTAACAAACATTTATGCATGCTTAATAATTTTTAAATATGCTTCTTTGGCTCTCCACTCATCCCACACATGCCTAACAAAGAAATCAAAACCGAAATAAACACAACAACAACAACAACCAAAACCAAAACCCATGTATGCTGGCCTTGACAGTGCCTGGCAGCTTTCTTGAAGAGGAAGGTAAAGAAATTCAAAGCACAGAAATTCCACTAAGTAAAGTTAACCATTTTAAAACTCAATGCCTTAGGTATTAGTTATTTCTTTCTTTATATTCTCAGGGGATGTGCTTTGTAAATATTTCTCAGACTCTTTGTTTTAAGGCTTTGCCGTCGTGGTACAGTTCGGAAATCCTGACATTCATACTGTGAAGCCTGTGACTGGTGCCTTTCCTCCAAGCAAGCTCAGACTCTGGACTTCTGTTCTGACGGCTCTGTCTCCCCTCTGACATCTTTCCCTGGGAGCTCCATGTTTCTTGAGTTGTTTTCTTTGCATTTTTTTCCAGTTGTTCTTGTGTTTTGGGGAAGTAGAGAGAGCCTTGCACATACTATCCCTTCTGCCTGGAAGAAGGAAAGGCCATGGCTAAAGGCTGCAAGTTGGCACAGTTCATTGATACTAGGGAAGCACGTTAAGAACCAAGATTAGGCTTTGAAATTCTTCTAGGTACCCTTTAGTCGTGTTTTTCTTAAAGCCTCTTCAAATGGAACATTTTTTTTTCTTTTTAATACCGGGTATTGTTTCCAAGTCTTCCTCCCTTGCCTCCAATACACCTTTCTCCTGTAAGTAAGAGACTGTAGGTTGAGCATCCCTTATCAAACATCTGGAGGTGGAATGTGATTCTTATTTCATGGTTTGTCAGATATGGGGAAAACCTGCATAACATGTGATGGGGGGGTGGGGAGGACGGCCCAAATCTGACAATGACATTCATTGGCAATTCATCCACACTTCCAGCCCTGGTAGTAATTCCAGACACATTTAAAACTGAGCCTACACATGGAACAGTTATATACGTGGAGTTTTATACCTGATATATATATATATATATATATATATATATATATATATATATAATTGAATTTGAATTTGCAGGCATTCAACTTTGAATAACCATGTAGCATTTTCTTCCTATGATGTTCTCAGGAAGGACTCGGGGTTGCTTGTTGTGGCAGCCAGATAAGGGAGCATTTCCTGGAGCCCAGCTGGCCAATACTGATTATTTATTCAAAGTAAAAAGTCCGTTTGTCAGAGAGATGACTATAAGCCCACATTCACTATAATGTTACATAGCTTGGATGTGGATATATCCAAGGGCCCATCTACAGACTGATGAATAAGAAAACATAACAAAGGGGCTGGGAAGATGATTCTTTTGGTAAAGGGCTTGACTTGTATCATGTTAACATTTCCTGAAGCCATGAAAACTACCGAGGTCTTTTCATCTCAGATAGGGCAGCAACAAAGAGTCAAGGTTTAATTCTAGCTAAGTCCAATTAAATGAGCCAGTGAATTTATTGGATTTATAGAGCACGGGGGATTGGTTACTTACAAGAAATGTACCTTGGCAAAGTCCCACCCCATCATGGAAACTGCATCATGCAGGTCCCCTTTCAGCTAATCTTAAACATCTAATGTATCCCAGCATTTCCCAAAATCTCTTGAGTTAGTCAGAGCAGGAGAGTGTCACAGCAATATGCCAGGTGATGGTCTTGAGACGCTCCCCTCTTCATTTTACCAAGGCACCACGCCAGTGGGCCAATGGCTCTGCTTTGTCAGCATAGACTTGGATACCACTGCACTGTTTTCCTGATTAGTGAACAAGAAAATTTTTGGTTCCAAATGGCAATGAAGTGAATATGTTCTGTCCTCAGGGGGAAAGACCATGCTGTAATAACACCTCAGAACTGGCAGTCCTGAGTTTGAGCCCCAGAACCTATATAAATAATAGTGTGTGGGTTATCACCCGCCTGCCCAGCACTGGGGAGGTGGAGACAGCCAGACACCAAGACTTGCCAACAGATTTAGCTAGGCTGACTTTACAACAAGCTCAACGGGAGCTGCTTGCATTTGCTCCTCTTATTGCTAGGACTGTAGGTGTGCATGCGCCAATATCTGCCTATTTTACATGGATGCTAGAGATCTGAACTCAGACCTTCATGCTTACACAGCAAATTTTTTACCACTTGAGCCACATTCCAGCTCCCATTTTTACATTTTTTGTAGGAAACATATCAGACTCCTGAACTGAACTGTTTTAGATCCCCCCCTCTTTTTTTGTTTAAATCAGACTGCTGTTTATATGTGTTCTTTGAAAAGTGAAAAGGTCTGATGGCTGAATCTTGGGTGTGTTTCTGTGCTCAGGGTCTGGGGGGTGATGCTGCTGTGGTACTGTGCCCAGAAGCTGAGTTATGTTACCAAAATACTGTGCTCAGGGACTAGGTGATACCGCTGAGGTGCTGTGCTCAGTGGCTGGGTGATAGCTGAGATACTGTGCTTGGGGTCTGGGTGATAGTTGAGGTATTGCAGTGTGGAGTTTTACTCTCTTCTCAGTAAACATCTCCTGATATCTTCTGGAAGAGGGGAAATACTAATTTTCCTGAAGGAACAGAACACCACCTACACTGAGCCATTGTTGTGAATGGAATCAGAAACTGATTTTTGTTTTGTTTGATTTTGTTTTGCTTTCTGCACTGGGAAACTGAAAGTAAACTGCAACACAACCCTGTAATTTAACAAAGCCAATCATGCCAGGGTTATCTGATTCAAGTCCTTGAAACTTGAGGAAATGAAGGTGCTGTCATCTTTGGCACAACTTGGGAAATGCCTTCTATGAGGTCACATGCATATGACAACAACAGCAGGGAAAAACTATTCCAGTGGACCAATCTTAGCTGGGTTGGAATCACGGGCTTTGGGGCAGATTTTGCTATCTGCCTAAGATTCATTTTGTTTGTGTCTTTCTTTCAGGTATTAGGGCATTCTTTCATCACGTCATCTTCCTTTCCTTTAATGTATCCTGGTTGGGATTGCCTTGTGAAGTTGTCGTAAAAAATATCATCAGGTGTGAGTGAAGAATGAATTTGATAGTTAGCTACATGACTAGATTTAGTATTAGGATGGGAACATCTGTTTGTTGTGTTTAGTCAGGTAGTTTAGTCAGGTAGTTTCATACACAGCCGTTCATCTGCCTGACCTTTTGTCTGCCTGACCTTTTGATATATCTGGCCAACACAGATAGTTGTGCATAGCCCACACATGATATAATATCAAGGGGACTGGTGGAGGTTTAGCACTAAGGGTAGTGATTGCAGTGATAGCGTGAGGAATGCCTATTCCTTATGAGCCTGGCACTGTGTCATAGTTTGCACAGTGATTCATGCTACAGCTTAGGACAACTACCTCATTCAGAGAGTAAGATCTCAAAAGGGTGTTTAAACACTAGTCACATTGCTTCATAACTATCATGATAACATTATCTTATCTTTGCTGGTAGAACTTCTCTGTGCAGGCCAGTTACTTCCATTCATTTCATTTCATTCATTCATTCATGTATTCAGGCATGCTTTCATTTTCTCATCTTCCTTTCTTTGATGCAGTTTATTGAAATTTCCCTGTGATGTCATATAAAAATATCAGAAAGTGAGTGAAAAGTAAATCTGATAGTTATCTTCACTGTCAGCTTGACTAGGTTTAGATTTATGGTAGAAACATTTGTATATTCAGATATTTCCAGGGAGTTTAATACTAAGAAGTGATGGCTTCTCTGAGGGTGAGCATCACCATCCCTTAATTGCAGACCCAGACTAAATTACAGTGGAAAGAGGAATAGAGCCCCCAATGCATTTGTTTCTGCCTCCTGACTTCAGATACAATGTGACAGTCCTATCATGCCCCTGTTTATCTGACTTCCCTACTATCCCCTATCACACCCTGAGCCAGCAGGGATTATTTTCCCCTTAAGTTAATTCAGGTCAGGTACTTGACCACAGCAAAGGGAACAGTAGCTAATACAAGTGAAGAAGTGACAATCTCTGGTGTCAGGATATCACTAGTCAGTCCTTCTTGTTTTTGAGGGCAGGTTTGTCCTCTCCTAACTCCTGTTCCAGTGGACAGTAGAGATAGAGGAAGTGCAGATTTTATTTCTGCATAATCTAGGGAATTCTTGTGATTGAGGAGGTCAGTGGGCAGCACTGAGGTTGAGCCCTGCCTTCCACCTTGTTTGAGACAGAGGCTCCTCTGTCCTTTCACTGTTTACTTCAGGCTAATATGTCCACAGAGTTTTGGGGATTCTCCAGTCTTGGCTTCACATCTCCTTTAGGAACACAGGGATCACACAAAGGCACACACACAAAGGTACACACACACACACACCACACACACCAGCCTACTTGGCTTTGTGTAGGTTCCAAACTCGTCTTCATACTTTTTTGGCAAGTACTCTTTATCCCCATGGCCTCCTCCACAACCCCAGACTTCCTTTAGAATTTATGTAGCATTTGCTCCAGACAGACATTTGTACTGACCAATGAGTTTAGATGTGGAGATATCTAAAACTTGTAAAATTGACATTTGGGCTAATTGACAGTCTTGCTGTTCACAGTGGCTTGAAGACCAGTCCTGACAGTGATTCTAGATATTTCCAGGACTCTCCTCAAAGCCCCCTTTCACAGGTTTCCTCCTCTATATTCTAGCAAAGGCTGTTTCATGGCTGTTGTGCTTTCCAAGAAGGGGAAGAGCAGCCTTCAGGGAATGAGATCCCAGTCATGGCTTGCAAAAGCCAAGGTGAGGGGATTGTCTGCAGACTACTGAAGGTGGCTGTGGGCTATGGCTGATGTCATAGAGGCCCCTGTTTGCTCTTTTCTTCTTGGGCATTTCACACTGGGAACAATTCAAACACATTGTGACACCAGTCAAAGGCCAGCAGCATTTTCCCTTAGCTAAGGATTTTACCCCTGAGTATCTGTGATTCCTAACATGCTCCATGCACTCTGGAGGAAACAGCACTCCAGCAGGGGCTGTACTGCTTTGCTGAGCTGTGGAATCTGTTTACCGAGTTGCAAACGTCATAGGCTTTGGGAAATCTATCATTGAAATGTCACATGATCAAACTGTCTCAGTGATCAAAGCACAGCCGGTTCTCAATGCTTCATCTTGTTGTCAGCTGGGCCTGACTTGGAGTCACCTGGGAGACACGCCCTTCTCCTGATACTTGGTATTTACATTCCTGTTCAGAGCTTTTTACCCTTTTGTTGCACTTAACCTGGGATTTGGACTCATCATCACTCTTCACGAGTCTGTCTTGTTGACTCATTTTCTGACCTCATTTATACCATGACAACCAAATTGATCAATATGTAATTATGTGACATGTTCTCTCTGTGAGGAGTCCTTTACATTCTGTGGCTCTGTGCAGTCAAGTGTCCTCACAGTTCTGATTTCTGCTGTCATCTTTATTTCCTACATGAATTGACTAGCTAAAGCATAGCTAACTAACCAGGGCTTCAAGCCCTGAACAGTTTTTCATTTTATAATATATTTATTATTACACTTAAATGTTTTTTATATGTGAATGCATAGAGTAATTTCATCTTTTTTCTCCTTTGGTCTGACACCAGGAAGTGCTGAGTATGGGCCAGTGTTGTGAATGGAAACAGAAAGGACTGCTTTTCCAGCCTTGGGAAATGGAAAGCAAATTCTCTAAGTGCTTAATGCAATAGATCTTCCTTTGAATACAAGCCTGCTACTTATTAATTCATTAATTCATTCACTCATCCGTTCAAAGGAACTTGAAGTATTTTCTCAGCTTCTAGTTTCTCAAGTCTGTGCCCCCATGGGCAAATTATTCAATCCAAACAAGATGGTACCACCAGGCTCACTTTCCTTAGAATCTTAAATTAGCACCAATAAATAAATAAATTAATTAATTAAAATAAAAAAATAAGTTGACTGGCTGCTGCTTCCTATCCCTTCTTTAATCTTGCCCACAGAAACCAAGAGCTTCAGTTTCTGTTTTGGCCTTGGCAGTCCCTCTGAAGGGTCTCTCTGTGTGTATGTACAGGCCTTACCAACTCGTTCCAAAGTCATCACACAAAGGTCAAAGGTCAAAGTTGATCTCCACTTCATTCTATTGAGAGGATCCTAGAACATTGTTATGGGTCCAGTCTTCAGTATGTGAGAAATTTGTTGCTGCTGTTTTTGTTGTTTTGTTTTCTATCAAAGGTAGCTAGCTTGTCAAGGGTCAACATTCTACAAGTCTCTCCACAGTTTTCTAAAATTTTTATGCAAAAGAATTTAAATTATATCGTCTTCGTCTTTTTGTTTTATGCAACTTTTAAAAATGAAAACCCTGTCCCCTGCATTTCTGGAACTTGACGGCCTGGAGGGGCTGGCCCCTTCCCCTTTTCTTCATTTCCTTCGCCCTGGTTTTTAAAGAGTTAGCCAATCTGGAAGGGTTGGAAAACAGCTAATGGGAAAAAGACACAGTTATCACCCTCATTAAAACAACTCCAAGTAACTTCTTGCCTTGGTGTGCTTCCTAGCCAGGGTTGGGTCTTAGTGCACTCCCCCCCCAAAAAAAATCAAATTGTCTTACACATAGTTACTTTCATTTTGTTTCTTTGTATGGCACCCAAAGTATTTATTTCCAGGAATTATAACCACAACTCTGATACTCTGTCAGGTGTCCTGGATGGCGCTTTCTGCTTTCACACGGGTGCCTGCAGCTCACTGCTGGAGGTGATGTGAGATTCTTGAAGCACCTCCTCCAGATTCTGTTGCACATTGCATCTTCTTGCTCCATCAATTCTATAGATGGCTCTCTCACCCTGACCTTCTTACCCCTCCTTGTGTTGGGATAAATCCTAAGTTGAGAGCACCATTGAGGCATGCATCTTTACTGTGAACCAGCAAGGTGAAGGTGATCTTGAGACTCCTAAAACATAGTTATCACACACACACACACACACACACACACACACACACACACACGCGCACACACACACACGCACACACACACATACACACACACACACACACACACACACACACACACTGGGGGGGGGATTTCAAAACACTAGACAGTGCAGCTATTCCATGTGACAACCTGGCCACACATCCCAGTTTGCAAGTGGATTCCATGAAGTAAGGAGCACACTGGAGGATTCCTTCCTTTGCAAAGCTGAAAAGCTGCCCAAACTGGTTGCAGGACTAGCTAAGTGGTAAACTGAGGTCAGGATACCACTAGGCACCTGAAGGCCTCCAGAGTGAGGTGCCTGTGCATAGGTGAGCCACGAAGCTCTCTCTCTCCCTCTCTCTCTCTCTCTCTCTCTCTCTCTCTCTCTCTCTCTCTCTCTCTGTGTGTGTGTGTTTTCTCTGGGAGGAGATCCCTTTGTACCTCCATCTCCAGCTCCCCGGCGGCCCCCCCCCCCAGTGTGTCAGGAATAAGTAACCTGAGAGAAATTTAAAACCCGGGCTAGAATCACCTGCCACCACAGAACCAAAGCTGATGTCTCAGGGGAGGCTGGAATTCTCAAGGGCTGGCGTTGCCAGGGGACCAAAGCGGTGATAGCAACTAGCCAGAGTTCCAGGGCCGGGAGAATTTCCTAACCCCCCCCCCCCCGGCGGTTAAAAGCTCAGCTGCAGTGGGAGGCGGAGAAACCCAGGCTCAGAGTAGAGCAGCCACACCCGAGGTCCCGCCGGTAGCTGCCTTCGCTTTCATTTCTCGGGATCCCGGGTCTGTGGCCACCCACAGTTTCGTTTCCGAGGCGTGGCAGAGGGCGCGGCCCGGGACACCAATGGCTTTAGTGAGCCTCCCTCGAGCTCCACTGTGGCTTCAGCGATTGTCGCGGCGGCTGTGCGCGCGGCTCCAGGCCTGCACGGGGACCATGGTTCGGCCGCGGCGCTTTGCTGTGGAGATGCCGGATTGCTCCCTGACTCATTTCGTCCTAGGGGACAAGGCGGGACACCCAGACCCACGCCTGGCAGCACTGCTTGGGCCCCCGGGGCGCAGCTACGCGCTGTGCGTCTCACTGGCCCCGGGAAAAGGCTGCGGGCCCCGGGTGCAGGCGGCCCGGATGCACCAACGCTTGCTTCTGCAGCTGCGCCGGGGCCCTTTGCAGCGCTGCCAGCTGAGCAAGCTCTTAGGCTACGGTCCCGGCGACCAGGACGGTGAAGCCCAGCATGGTTTCCTGCTGCGCGACCCTTGCGACCACCCGGACACTCGCAACACCTTGTTGAAGCTTCTGGGCTCCTGCCAGGAGGCGGCGCACCCGCAGTTGGCCGAGTTCCAGGTGGACTCTCAGGGTTTGCTGTGGCAGCGCTTATGGGAGCTGCAGGGAGACAGGCAGGTGCAGGTAGACTGCGCATGCGTTCTTCCGGCTCTGGAGCCTCAACTGCACCCATTGCTGCCAGATCTGCTCAACTCTGCGGTGTTCCAAGACCGGGATGCTGCACGGGCGGTACTGGAGGAGGTAAGGAAGTGTTCTTTCCCTTCAGAGCTGGGTAAAGCTGAGTGTCTGTCTGCTCCTGGCTGGCCAATCAAGTGCTTTCCTCCTGATATTTTAATTCTCATTCGTGAATCCGCTGGTGCAGGTAAAGCCTTGCAGGCTCTGTGTTAGACACTGGAGCTGCTTTCAGTATTTTCTGGGCAGGTGTCAGTCAACCCAGTGTTGCCAGCATGCAACACCTGGATGAGCAATGCTTGGTGAGTCCTGCAGGGGGAGTAAAAGAGTTCGCTGGGAATTGGGGACAATTTGCTGGGGGTGTTTGCTACCAATCTGGGATCTTGGGGGCGCAGAAAATACACTACGTGAGTTAGAGGATATAAGCATTAAACTGGTTTGTGGGCCATATGCGGTCCCTCAAGTGCTCAAGCGTTTTTGCTTTTGTCTTCTCCATCATCTACAAATGTTCCTGAGGTGAAGCATAAGAGGTTTCTGGAAGTCTCAAGGGAAAAGCTTAAGGTTGTGTTGGTGCCCCAGGGCCTGCTGGTCTATGTAGTTAACATTATTTTACAAGCTGTCCAGCGGAGCTCAAGGGTGGTGAAAAGCCCATGGTCAGCCAGTGAGATGATTCAATTCCTGCCACTTTTCAGCTTGTTTCTCCAACACTCCGCCTCACTTTCCTTAATCCATAAAGTGATAACAGCAGAAGCATTCACATCAATTGCCTGGTCTGGTACTTGCAAAGCTCTTGGGAGCTTGCCTTGCTCACAGTAGCCATACCATTGAATGAGAGTGGTCCTAGGTGCATGGGATGTGGTGATGAATAGTTAAGAAAGTTCAGATGCTCGACAGAATCTCAGCTTTGTCAGTCTTCTGGGCAGTAAGGAGGGTGTGTGCACGCGCGCGCGCGCACACACACACACACACCACACACACAGACATACATTCTGCGGATAGTGGTAGATGCACTTGTCTGGTTACATCTACAGGGACCTACTGTTCCCAGCTGGGCCTGGAGTTCCCTTGTGGCTGTGGTTGGAATTACTACTTGTCCTTCCTATAGGGTAGGCTAGCCAGTGAAGGATTGAGGTTGTATAACCCAGACGCGTACTGCCTTTGTTTCTTGTGTCTGAGCTTAGAAATTCTAGGGAGCTGTGTGCCAGGCTTCATGTTTAATCTAAAGAAGGTCTCTTTAGCACTGGGCAGTGCTGTCTTTGGCAGAGTAACAGCAGGTTCCCAGAAGCCCCAGTGTCTCCCTGCTTATGCAGTCTTTTTCCCCCTACAGTGCACATCCTTTATCCCTGAAGCCCGGGCAGTGCTTGACCTAGTTGACCAATGCCCAAGGGAAATCCAGAAAGGGAAGTTCCAAGTCATTGCTATTGAAGGACTGGATGCCACTGGTAAGTGAGCACTGCTTTGTAGTTATGTAGTTATTGTCAACACCATGAACCAAATGGTTGCAGGAGGTGGTAGTTCTTGCAATACTAAATGCCATACAGAGCCTTCTATGAGTCTATACAAGGCTGGCCAGGGAACACAATGGGAGGGGGTTAATGAAGCTCTCAGGGGGTCCTGTTCTGCTGAAACCTCCTCCAGAAGATACCCAAGGTGTTAAAAGCAGTTTTTTTTTCTGCCAGCCTCAAATAACACACAGAGACTCTATTAGATATAATTCTGTTGGCCGGTTGCTAGCATTTCTTATTGGCTAGCTCTGTCTTAAATATTAACCCATTTTTATGAATCTAAGTATTTCCACATGGTCTCATCTTACCTGAGAGAGGGCCCAGACCTCTGCTCTCTCAAGTCTTTCCATTGTTGACTCCTCCCTACTCTTTCTGGAATCCTCCTTGTCTCCTAGTCCTGCCTATCTTGCTTTACTATTGGCCAACAGTGCTTTATTCATTAACCAATACGAGAAACATATTTACAGAATGACATCTCTCATCATCTCCTCTTTTCTGTATAAAATAAAAAGAAGGGTTTTTAACCTTAGCATAGCAAAATATATCACAAAACAGTTATCAAATAAGAATCACAGTTAACAATATTTAGTTCATTAACATGTAGCAAGGTTAAAGAAACTATTCTATCATCTATCCTATCTTTGTGAGTCTAAAGTCCTATATGTAACTTATTTTTAATCCTAATTAAGGAAAACTATAACCATAACTACCCATCTTCAACTTCATTAAAGACCACAGAAGAGTAATGTATAAACTCTAGAAATGACAGAGACGTCTTACTACCTGGTCAGTCACCTGAACTTCTGTAAAGTTCCATCTTCAGCCTGTAGACCATAGTGTGTCTGGCAGACTCCTCAGCAAAGCAAGAAATTTCAAAATGTCCCACCTGTGTTGGCAGTTTTTCAGTCACTTTTCTCTGTATCCTGTAGACTGTCTGGCAGACTCTTCCATGAAGCAGGAACTCTGTAGCAATGTCCATCTTGAATCAGCAGTCACTTTTCTGTGGGTCCTGCATGTCCAGTTTATATAGCATAAAGTCAAACAGTCTAGGCAAGAGCAATATCTTGTCCAAGTCTTGCCATATTAAAAGCAAACTTCATAATGCATTTCTTCGATGTCCATCTTCCTTTCTGACACAGGTGATGTTGCCAAAAGCAGTTATGTCTCACTGTTAAGAAAAACCCTAAACAATTTTAAATGCCATATTCTGTAGGTCTTTGAAAGGTTTTAAGAATATTTATCCATCTCAAATATATCTCTGTAATATCTTGAAAACATAACTAAACTCTAAGTTTTTACTATCATAGTTAACATCTATCATCTGCACTAAATTATACATTACATTTCTAAATGAGCTATATAAACACAATACCTAAACAAACAGAGAAATATACATATCACAAAATTGACCTTAAATTGTATCAACAAATAAAAATCCATTTCAAAACAAAGTATTCATATATATACCATAATGCCCTTTTTACCTTTAAAAAGATTGGTTGTGGTCATTACCATTTATAACCAACCCCACTTAAATGAAAACAAACATTTATACAATATTTTGGAATTTGGGCGTCATTCTTTCCAAACTGTTTCCTGCTGGTAGGGGACACTGTCATGGGGATCCTAAGAAAATGCAGATATCCTGGCTATAGTCTGCAAGGCTGCCTTGTTCAAGCTGTTTTAAATGTTGGATCACCTGGGACTCTGTTTCAGGGAATCTGGCTTGATCAAACCATATTAGTCTGGAAGGAATCCACAGCTTTTTATTTTCTGTGGAAACAACAACAGAAATCCTTTTCCTCAGTAATCTTTCCTTAGACTTAAATTTTGAAGTCAAAGCATTTTCAAAATATATAAATTGAATTAATCCAGCAGAATTTCTTTTAACAGTTGTTGCTATTTCCTCATCAGTCAAAGGATACAAAAACAATATAACACCATATCGTATCCAGATTCTCTCTGTGCTTTCCATCTTTACATGGCTTTTTTATTACTCTATTTCTTCTACTTCTATATTTTTTTATTTCTTGAGACACGGTTTCTCTGTGTAACTTTTATCTGCCCTGGAATTAGCTCTGTATACCAGGTTTACTTTGAAATCACAGAGATCTGATTGCCTCTTTCTCCCGAGTGCTGGAATTAAAGGCATGTGCCACCACACTCAACTACTCTCATTTTATTATTCTTTTTTAAACCATTGTATCCTGTTTCTTTTTCTCTCCCAAGCCTATGTATATTTTAAAACACAGTGTAAACCCTTAGAGGTTTTTCTTAATTTGAATTTGTCTTTACTGTAAATCTTTATCTTTATCTGGCCATGAGTCTTTTATCTGGTAAACAACAACATTGCTAAAATGAAAGCCACAGCTGTATTAGCTGGGGTCTATCCAAAATGGAGGTGGGTACTTTTACCGACAGAACTAAGAGCTGTGGTCACTGCATGTTGCCAGCTTGGAGATGTGGTCACTGCCATTGCCAGCTCTGGAACAAACCATTAAGTTGTTAGCAGAACTCTTTAAACGCCTTGTGTTTTTTTTTTTTTTTTTTTTTTTTTTTTTGCTGCTTATGCTGAGTCAGGAAATCTTCCTTAAAGGAGCCATGCAAGTCACTGCTTGTCTCTAGCAAAACATAGTCCAACTGAGAAAAATGATGCTATTACCAAGAAGCCTTGCTTGTCTCTGTTCTTTTGTTTATAAAACCTTTTCTTAAGGCTTTTGTTAAGTTTTAAGTGGAAGTTCTTATTAGCCTCGTTGAAGGTGCCATTTTGTTATGAGTATGTTTTTTCCCTGCCGGCCTGACCAAAAGCACTCCAAGGAAGAAAAGGATTGTCTCATCTGGCAGCTTTCAGCCCATCACGAAGCAAAGTCAGGGCAGGAGCTCAAATAGGAACCTGGATTCAGGAGCTGAAGTAGAGATCATGGAGGGTAGCTGCTTGCTGGCTTGCTCCTCAAGGTTTTGTTCAGCCTGCTTTCCTATAGAACTCAGGCCATTATTTAATCACTCCCGTTGAATTCCAGATTTAAACCTTTCCTCTTCCTTGGTTAATATGTTAGTGTTAAGTTAACCTTTGGGAGGACCATGGTGCTTCAGCTAAGAAGTGTTCTGCTTTGTTTACATCCTGCAGGTAAAAGCACTGTGACTCAGTCGGTGTCACAGTCCCTCAATGCTGTCCTCTTACAGTCACCACCCCCCTGCATTGGCCGGTGGAGGAAAATCTTTGATGAGGAACCTACTATCATTCGAAGAGCATTTTACTCTTTGGGCAATTATCTTGTGGCTTCTGAAATAGCTAAAGAATCAGCGATGTCCCCTGTTATTGTAGACAGGTGAGTAGTAAGATGCCTTCTCTGTGACACATGATTCCCTTTCTCTTTTCCCCCTCCCCAAATCTCCTCTCTGCATATATATATTCAGATGCTCAATTGTGAACATGCATTATGATTACAAGGGGAATACTGAAGTATTAACTACCTTCATGGCACCCTGACATTTTATACTAATATCTGAAACAGTGCCTTGGGTAGATTAGAATCAGATGGTCTCTGCAATTAACTAATAAGGAACATGGGTCCTAAAAGACTGTGTCATAACTAACAGGTATCATTCCTCTTATTATCATAATCAATGGAAACCTCCTGGCTAGAGCAGTGGACCTATCATGTGGTCTCCCCACTGTGTCCTTTGCCCTCTGACAAAAAGGTCCAAAAAACTATTGAAAATTAAAGAATTAAGGACCAGCTATTGTCACACAGCCAAACTGCCAGCCAGGCTTGGAGAATTGTCAAACCTAGGAATGGTTCTATTTTTCTTGGGAACATCGGTTTATATAAGTACTTGCTGTAGGTGATTCTCCTTTGATGTTAGATACGAAGCTTTACATTGCTTCACTTTGTATTAGAATGTTGCTTGAATGGGGTAAGAATCTGATTGCAACAAGGACTTAGAGGGTGCCTTCACCAACATAATTTTGCATTTGGGTCTGTAGACATCTCCAAATGTCCATTAATGCATGGTGGTTAACAAAAAAAAAAAAAAAAAAAAAAAAAAAAAAAGAAGAAGAAGGATGAGGAAGGAAAGAAAAAAGATAGTGCTTGGCATCTTGTTCATCTTGTTCTTCTTTGCTCCGATTTATTCTCTCCTGTGGTTGTTGTCTGTGTAAGGGTGAACATCTTCCAACAAGGGTTGAGTCTTCCCACCAGCAACTTTTCCATGGAGACTACAGCCCTCCTTACTGATCTTGAGTTTATGATCAGCCAGGTCACATCTAGACTAAGACTGACTAGCTTTGTGTGTATCTTGTCTCCTAACATTTTTACTTTTTCCCTAATTAATCTTGGTGCTCATGTCAGTGCCCCCAAGGACAAAACTAAGAATATAGGTACTTTCTGTTTTCCTTGTGTGACTGCAGTGATGTTAACTGCTTTCCTCCTGGTTATTATTGTTTTTGGTGTCAGTGGTTGGACATGGATTTTCTGGAACACACTGTGTTCAGCCCCTGTTCTAGTAATATCATACACTTATGTTAGTAAATATCATTTATTGACACATGTATGCTTGTGTTCATCAATAGCCATTAGGAACATTACTTAAAGCATGCTAATAAATCTTATTCATTAATAGATATAAGGAACATTCACTTTTTGCAAACCTACTATGTGCTGGTTTTGTAGTTTTCATGTTGAAGAATACAGAAGTAATTAAGAAGCATTCCCACTCAAGGAATACATTATTCATGGAGGAGACAGAATTTCACACCTGAGACAATAGCTGTGGTGAGCCACTGAGAAGTTCCTCTCTGGGGTCTCCTCCAGGGTATGAGGAGCCAGAGGGGGAACATGGACTCCATATGGGGCCATCATGGAAGCAGGGCTGTGAAGGCAGAGGAGGGATTTTGCTGGTTGAAGGGTATCATCTTTGCTAGGAAAGATGGTGTGTGGTCCAAGCTGGGAGGAAGTTCCATGCCTCACAAGTAGACAGAATCCTTTGCTGTAGGTGGTGGACAGCTATTGTGCTTCCAGAAACTGTGCTGGATTCGTTTCTGTTGATGGCCATAGCTGTCTTTTCTATAGTTGCCTAACCTGGTCTCTTCATTGTGTAATTACCACCACACAGTTAGACAACTAGATTTCTGTGAAGGGAGGAAGGGACATATTCTAGCCTCCATTCCATAAACATGGATGTCACGGGCAGTTTGAGTTTGGCACTGGGAGAAATGACCCAGGTTTGCCAGATTTCACTAGCTCAGGACATAGCATTAAATACAAAGGCACTCCTGGGCTAACCTATCATCCCTATTTCATGGCTGCCTAGAGGTTATTGTACTGATGGGCCAGAAATGTTTGACGCCTATCTTTGTGGTATATGATAGTTTTAATTAGATATATGATTTCATGACTAGTCTGCCTGTTACTACTATTGTTGACTCTGACTTTTGTGTGCCTCACCCGCACGACCAGAGTACTGCGCTGGTGGAGAGTGTTGGGATTGAAGCATTTAACAGACCACCACGAGAAGTGAAGAAGAAGCTGCTGTTTATTACAGAGAGTAATGGGCTTATATACCCAAGCCAGGGGATGGGTTAAGCCTAGGAGGAAGTCATGTACCACCCACACCTGGGGTCAAGGTACAGGCACTATTCACTGGGAAGTTCTGAAAACAACCTTGTTTGCTCAACCTTGAGAGCACAGAAGTTTTGCAGCTGGGTGGGGAGGAAGAGAGCTGTAAGGGACAAGTACTTAAATTTTTCCCAACATTTGTGTTTTGTGCACATATATATATACACACACACACACACACACACACACACCAAACAACAAAAACAACAAAAGCATCCAAATATATTTCATTTGTAAGGTACTGGGAAGACTCCAGCAAAGCCAGCCTGGTTTGATGTTCTCGAAGGGTATCTTGATTTCTTCTAAAGATGAGAGTTTATTGCTGCCTTGTTCCCTAGGTACTGGCATAGCACGGCCACCTACGCCATAGCCACTGAGGTGAGCGGAGGCCTGCAGTATCTCCCTCCTGCCCACCACCCTGTGTACCAGTGGCCAGGAGACCTGCTGAAGCCTGACCTTGTCCTGCTGCTCACGGTGAATCCTGAAGAGAGAGTGAGGAGACTGCAGGGCCGGGGTCTGGAGAAAACTAAAGAAGAAGCAGAACTTGAGGCCAACAATGTGTTTCGTCAGAAGTACGTGTCCCTGGGGTGATGTGATTGGTGGAAGTTGCTAAGTCTCTAAGCGGGGACCGGAACTCGTTTAGGATGCAGAGTCAAGGACATACATACATAGTTCCTGTGCTTCAAGTACAAGAGGCAATGCCCCCTAAGCCACCCAGTCTCTGTCACTATGCTTGTTACCATGTGGCTTCAGCATGGCCAATGGAAAGCAATGGAGTTTCTGTGTCAGAAATGGTAGGATGTTGATTAAAACCTGAAGTTTCAGGATTGGGGATATACTCTGTCAATAATGTGCTTGCTGTACAAACCTGGGTTTGACTTTCAGCATCTGTCCTACTCAGTGTTCTATTGCTGTGAAGAGACTCCATGGCCACAGTAACTCTTATAATGAAAAGCATTTGCTTGGGCCTGGCTTAAAGTTTCAAAGCTTTAGTCTATTATCATCATGCCAGGAAGCATGGCAGCAACAGGCAGAGATGGTGGTGGAGAAGGAGCCAAGAGTTCTATATCTACATTCACAGGTAGCAGGACGAGAAAGACATTGGGCCTAGCTTGTGATTCTGACAGCTCAAAGCACACCCCTACAGACACACTTCCTCCAATAAGGCCACACCCACCTAGTCCTTTTAAGTAGTGCTGCTTCCTGGTAGCTAAACATTTGAATCTATGAGCCTATGGGGCCACTCTTATTCAAACCACTGCATTCTACTCCCTGGCCCCCCCCCCCAAAGTCTTGTAGCCATATCACAATACTATATATATATATATATGCATTCAGTCCAACTTCAAAACTCCTATTGTCTACTACAGGCTCAGCACTATTTAAATGTCCAAAGTTCAAAGTCTCTTCAGAGACTCATGACATCTGGGCATGTGACTCTGACTCTAGGGCAATCTTTGGTGATTCAAAGTGGGAGTCAGCTGCTTTCTCTGCCACGAGAAAGAAGATGATCCCTCTGAGTATAAACTGATAAGATGGTACTAGGATATAGGATTGGCTGGTAATAGGTTGTCAGTCATGATGGATAAGGCTGACTCATCCTTCATTGAACAACTTCACTGAATCTGTTTAGGGGCCACCAAAGTGAGTTAGTGACAAGGTAACAGTAACAAGGTAACAAGCTGAAGTTAGTAACAAGGTAACAAGCCTCAGCTAGTAACAAGGTAACAAGCTGCAATTAGTAACAAGGTAATAAGCTTCAGTTAGTAACAAGGTAGCAAGCCACAGTTAGTAACAAGGTTTCAAGTTGCAGTTAGTAACAAGGTAACAAGCCTCAGTTAGTAACAAGCAGAAATGAAAGGTAAGAAAGTTGCTTTTCAGGGATGACTGGGTAGAAGGGACGCTGACTTTTCCCCTTATCCGTCTCCAGGGTGGAAATGACCTACCAGCGTATGGAGAACCCAAGTTGCCACCTGGTTGACGCCAGCCCCTCAAGAGAGACTGTGCTACAGAAAGTTTTGCAGCTGATCCAGAGCACTGGTCATTAATTGTAGTTCTTCTGGCCATGTGCCTCATTACACCAAAAGAGAAGCTGTGTGATGCACCTAAAATGAGCACTCATCATGCAGCTTTTTAGATTCAGGTGGTTCGAGCATACTGAGGGCAGGGGAGGGGGGAGCTGGAGAATGGGCATTTTGCTTTATTCCGACCGACAGAACCAGCCAGCAGCTGCTGTTTTCTGCCTGGCCATGTACCATCTTCTTGGGATATATTTTAACACTGTGATCACCTAGAAAGACCTTCTGATGCAATGGTGAGCATATGGAACTCTTCCTGCACTTGGAAGCTGATGTCAGATGTGGCCCACACTGATCAATTGTGATGGGCTAGCCTTATCACCTTTCACACCAAATCCTATATTGAGCATTGGCAAAGAGCCTGGCTGTCCCAGGATATCCCCTTGGAGCCATTTAGGAGTGGGGACACTTGCAAAGAAGCCATCCATCTTGCTTCAGAGGCTAAAAGAACAACTTGGTCAGTTCCCTGAATGAGTACCTCAGACCTGAATAGACATGTGCCCCTAAGCTACCAGCATGCCAACCCTGCTGTTCTCATTTGCTCATCTGCATTCCATTTCATTCCTCTGAAATCTACTTCTGAGTGTAATGAGCAGGATGCATTTTACTTACCCAGCACACTGATTTGTTTATATTTATGTTTACTTCATATATTTCCTTACTGTAGGAGCTGTGAGTCAGTAACCAAAACTGAGGCCAAGGAGCTAAATGCAGCATTTGCTGTGTGTTTTCACTACACAAATTTAATTTATCTTAATAAACACCGTGGATTCTGGAAAGAGATTTCAGAGTAAATTATCTTGCACTTTGAATGTCTTCTGATTACATGTGAAGTTAGCTTGAAGGGCTCTTTTTAGAGAAAAGAGCTGTGGAAGAGAATCCTGGTGGCTCTGTAGCCTTGGCAATCATGTTAACAATTTGGTCTGAGAGGGGACAGACAGTAGGTGGGCCTGGAGGCATAACCCTCTAGTAATAATTACTTGGGAGACTGAGAAAGGAAAACTGAATATTCAAGGCCTTCCTGGGCTACAGCATATGTTTAGGGCTAGCCTGAGTAATGTAGTAAGACCTTGTTTCAAGATTAAAAGATATGAAGAGGAATGGGACATTGGACTGAATAGTCTATTCCTGGGTTCAGGTCCTAGGTTCCATTCCCAAACCATAAAAATAAAAAATATATAAAAATATGAATAAACAAACAATAAAAGGAATTAAGTAAGTTTTAGTCATAAGAAGGTGGCTGGGTCAGATTATTATTTAACATTCCAATTACAATGTGGATGCCTCTCATTTTGATCCCACATCCCATTTCTTAGGTAGAATCATCCCCAAGAAGTTACATGTAAAGCCTTATCAGGTTTACCCTAGTCTTAAATTATAATAAGATTTAGTATTAACATATCAGTATTTTTTCACCTTTGGAACTATGTATAACTTATAAATAATGTGTCTATGTATATGAATATGTTGCTTGCCTCAGTAAAACATATTTTTGAAGCTGACAAATAACATTAAGGTTCTCTGTAATGTTGCAGCTACTTCTACAAAGGGTTTTGTTCAAGCCTTTCTGAGATTATTGTGCCAGAGGCCCAGGAGGAAGTCTTAGTGCCCTCCTCATGAAACCTGACAGGGAATAAACTTGCTATGATTTTCCTAGCCCAATCTGTCATTATGGCTTGTGTGACATATTTGTCTGAGCATCTCCCCCAACATGTTTATCTTTCCATAATCTATGGTTCCTATGTACATGAGAAGGTAGAGGGTGTGAGTTTGGCATCTGTGGTCATGGGCTTTGGTGGAGAAATGTTTGTTTCAAACATTTCACATTATAAATATCGAAGTTTCATTCCATATACAGCTGATAGGTAGATGATTTGCATTAAAAAACTCAGTGACCCCTACTAATGCCGAGATATTTGGCTCTGCTCACTACAAGGTAGGATGTGTTCTTATCACAAGATTGCTTCTTTCTCGTTCTCAGTAATGGAAGTTCAGCCAGCACATTGGTGCTAAGGACACTGTGTTCATGTGTGAATTTCTCAGAGCTGGCTGGCTGGCTCTGGCAAAAGAAACATGAAGAATGTCAAGTGAATGTGTTCCCTTTCTGCTTCTGTCTCTGCTGTGATCAGGTAGAAACAAGGAGGAAATTCTGCAGAGAGGTGAGCAGCAGGATAGGTGTGGTTGTGCTGAGTGAGAAGGTCTTTGCTGACTAGGGATACACACAACAGTTGGGACCTAATGTTCATAGATTTCATGTACCTAAAACATACTTCACTATGGTTTGTTCCCCCACATTCATACCCAACCACTTGCCTACAGGGATGGTTAATATTGAATGTCAACTTGACAGGATCTAGAATCACTTAGTTACAGATCTCTGGGCATATCTGTGAAGGAGTTATTTGAAGCAAGAAGACCCACTCTTAACAATGGTAGTATTGTTCCAAGGATGGGGTCCTAAGAAAGGGGAAAAATGAGCTGTGTAACAACAGTCATTGGCCTCTGCTTCTTCGCTGCAGATGCAATGTGACCTAACTCCTACCATAGCTTATCATCAAGATGAACAGTAGATCTTCAACTACGAGCCAAGACAGGTCTTGTCCTTACTAGGTTGCTCTTGTCAGGTATTTTGTCATGGCAATGGGAAAAGTAACTGTGAACAGTTTGACATGGATGCATAACCTCCTTCTAGAAATGATGACATATTTTGAAATCCCTTGCAGCTATGTGAGCCTTAGGACCTGGTCTGGCTGGTGGGGTTTGACCAACAGGCATTGATAATACTGCTTCAGGACTATTTGTACAGAGTCATGCTTGAGTCCTTTGTGCTTTTCTGTAGTCTGCTGGTTGGAGGACAACCAGAACAGGAAGGAATGCTTTGTCTTCAGAGAGAGAAGATGGTGGCAAGATGAAAGAGGGAGTCTACCAGCCAAACCTGTAGCTCTATGGGAGCTACCTGAGCTCTATGGGAGACCAACACACATTTCATTGTATCAAATGATCTCATGTTTGCCTTTACTCTTTATTATACAGCAAATTGTCTTCCTTTTTAACATATACCCAATGTGTTTGTTTACTGTAGAGTAAGTTTACAGTATACTGGATGGCTGAGCAGGCTCCTGTCAGATCTGAACTTCCTGGGCATGGCAACTGTATGCTTTGGAGGAAAGGGTGAAATGTTCTGAAAGAAAAAAAAAAAAAAGGAACATTCTAAAATATACTTGGAAGAAACGTAGGGTAAAGAGTGCCCCTGGTTTTAATGGCATGCCAACATCTGCTTCATTTGCTGAGTGGAATCCAGTAGAAAACCTATAGACCTATAACTATGGACTGAGCCCACTAGAAGGGGGGTCAATCTTGTAAAAAGAGAACCACTTGAGTGGTGGTTAAGTTGCTTGTGTACTGAGTGGGATTTGGAGTTAGGAGGTTTATCTCCAAGTGTGTCTATGAAGGCATTTCTAGAGAGGTTTCAGTGAGGGGGAAAGACTACCTTTAGGTAGGGAAGAATCTTTCTCCAGGTGGTTCAGATCTGCAGAGGTCTAAGAAAAAGCCACATTGTCCAACTGCCTCCATGCCTTCATGAGTGAGTGCTTCTATCTCTGCCACTGTCATCCTCCCTGGGTGTCAGACTGAAACTTCTCCAGCCTTCCAATGTGAACTGAATACAAGCGTCTCTCTAGGAATCTTCCAGGTACTTATCAGCAAACTGGGCCTACTGAGACACCAGCCTTTGGGCTTGGCAGCCACCAGGCTCTCAGCCTTTTCTGTATGTAGCTGGCCACTGTTGAACAACCCAGCCCTATGGTGTAAGTCAACCCAGTATATATTCTACACACACATACACTCACTCACACACACACACACACACACACACACACGCAGGCATGCACGCACGTACACATGCACAAACACATACACATAGATACATACATGTGCGCACACACATGTACACAGATACATACACATGTGCACACATAGACATGCACACATATACACAGACACACACACATGCACACACATACACATAGACATGTACATGTGCACACACATGCACATAGACAAATACATGTACACACATGCACACACATACATGTACATGTGCACACACATTTTTATATACACACAGAACATACATGTGCACACACACTTGCACACGCACATTCTTTAAAATAACACAGTGTGGTTCTCTAGGAGTTGGTTCTGTTCTTCCACCTTTAGGGAGGTCTAGGTTCTTGTGTTGTATGTATTGGTTCTCAATTTTATTAGTTTTGTTATTTTAACATCTTTGATTCAATATTTCCTCCTTTATTGTTTCTGATGAGAAATTGACTGTCAGTCTTCTCTTCATTGCTCCCCATATAACATGTCATTTTCTTGCATCTCTCCTCTATATTACTGGTTTAAATAATTAGAGTATGCTGTCCAAATTTACTTATGTGCTTGAAACTGGGTATACAGTTTTATAGCTTTACTTATTTTGAAAAAAAATTCAAATATTTTTTCTGTTATTTCTTTTTCTCTTTGTGAGTTCTCTCTAATAATATCTGCATTAGATTGTTCAAGGTGGCTACAACCATTTGATAATCTTTTGTAATGTTTTTTCTCCCTGAATTTCCCGATGACCGGTTTCTTTGCCAGTGTCTTGAGATTCAGTAGTCTTTGGTGGTGCTTCTGCAGTTAATCTGTTCTCATGTATCTTATGTCTGTGAGTTGTCATGTGTTGTTTGAGCTCACCAGGAAGTGGGTATGCCCACCCTACCCCTCTGCCACTTCAAACTCAAGCATGTTTTCATCAAAGTGTCCTCCAAATCTTCTTGTATGAGGATGGCCTATTCCCCTAATAGTGACAGGGAGGGCAGAGAACACCGGAACAGCTTATCTTGGGGTTTCTATTGCTGTGATAAAACACCATGACCAAAAGTAACATGAGGAGGAGAGTATTTATTTCACTTACATGTCCCAATCACAGTCCGTCATGGTGGGAGGTCAGGGCAGGAGCTCAGGGTAGGAATTTGGAGATAAGAATTGAAACAGATCAAGGAGTAGTGCTGCTTACTGCTTTGGTCCCCATGCCTTCCTTCTTATGTACTCCCAGAACCACCTGCCCATGAGTGGCACTGCCCAACGTGGTCTGAGCCCTCCCATATCAATCACCAATCAAGAAGTGCATCACAGTCTTGTTTACAGGCCAATCTGATGGAGGCATTTTCTCAGCTGAGAGTCTGTCTTCCCAAATGGCTCTAGTTTGTGTCAAGTTGACATAAAATTAGTCAGCACAAAGTCCATGGGTGAAAATTTGTGTCTTTGAGGATAACTAGACATTTCAAACATGTAAATGGAAACCATTTCCAATTGGTGATACCATTGCTTTCCCTGCGGCATGAAAGCACCTGTAGTGAAGAAGGGACACCAGAAGTTTAGCCATGGGAGGCTGCTCAGGGAGGAAACCTTCTTGGAGAATCCAGATGCTCTTCTTTTTTATTAAAATGTCTCAGCTCAGTTTTGGGTTGTATTTTAGGTTCATTAAAAGAGTTTGATCCACATGAGTGTTGCATTTAAGATTTGTTAGATGATATACTTAGAATTTACTGCCTAGAACTAACTGCCCCACCCCCTTAAACTTTAAGGCCCAGTCAAAAGGTTACCATGGAATCCCTGTGCCACATGCTGGATTCTGTTGCCTCTCATTTTCAGCATGGTCCTTTGTCTGACAAGGCTAGGACTACTATCTCCATCCTGAGGAATCCTTGATGTGAGCTCAGAATAACTTTCATTTTCTGCTTGTCTTTCACCTGCCCTGCCTGCCTTGGTCTTCTTTAATTGTTGTAGAACGTCAATATCTTTGAAAGTTTATTATCTTTGTACCTTCCAAGTAAGACACTTGTTTCAAATTCCAGGAAGATTTGTTCACTGCTTGTGATTAAGGGGTGTGGTGATGCAATGTTATGAAAATATTTCATATTCTAAGAGATTGGAACATGCTAGACCTACAGCCAGGGCTAACAATGCACCTTGTGGTCATTAAAAAAAGACTTAAGGATGTCATCCTATTGTATACTCAGTCTGTTTGTTTAAGTGGCATTTAAGAGAACTATCAATCCTTGCCTTGGATTTCCCATGCCATTAACTCTTACAATCTAAACTAATGTATAGCTCTAATCTTAAACTATGTACTCTTTTGTGCTCCTGACCCTGAGTAATATATTTATGTTATAATAATCATTTGCTGGAGCTAGGAATTGGAAGCAGTGTTATAAAATGGAATATTCAACACACATATTGAATGCAATATAAGGATATTACTTGATAAACAATGGTGTTTGTAATGTTTGTAATACTGTTTATTGTCCAGGTCAATTGGAGTAAGTGCCTTAATCTCTTCTAAAACTCAGTTAAAGATTTCCAGAAAGTGTCCCTTGTTACTTCTTAAGCGATGTTTTCTATGCTGTTCAATAAAGATAGAGCAAATCCCTTGGTTAGGGAGAGACACACTCACACAGATGCAGACAGATGGATCTATGCTGTTCAATAAAAATAGAGCAAATCCCTTGGTTAAAGACAGACACACAGACAGACACAGGCAGACAGATTCACAAGACAGATTTCAGGGAAGCAGAGATTCATATTCGTACAACACACAGAGGATGGAAGACATAGGAAGAGTGTGTG